GAACATAAAAAGGGCCTGTTGGATCGAGCCAGTTGTGGTGCATCTAGTGCAGTACCCTCTTCTCACAGTGGCCAACCAGATGCCTATGGAAAGACCCAAAAATAAGGACATGAGAGATGAGTGCCACAACTCTCTCCTCATCTCTGATTCCCATCAACTTGTATTCAGGAGCATACTTTTCTCTGGGCAGTTTTGTCACACCATGCATAAGCTTACTGCTCTGTATCATGTCTCCTCTTACCTTTTCATTTAAACTAAAAAGGCCAACCTTTCCTCACAGAGGAGTTGTGCCATCCCTTTGATGATTTTCCTGAACCTTCTTCAGCTGTATAATACCCGTTTTCAGGTGACTGGAACCGTACACAGTACCCCAAGTGTGGTTGCAGCATACGCTGTCATAATATCAATACGATCTGTGGCAATTTTATTTTAAATTTGTCCCTAATTATCATTAGCATGGAATTTACCTTGCCTCACATGAGTTCATCTTCATCAAGCTATCAGGCACGACCCCCCAGGTTGTATTCCTGGTCAATCATCTCCACTTCATTTTATAATAATAATAATAATAATAATAATAATAATACAGTGGTACCTCTGGTTACATACGCTTCAGGTTACATACGCTTCAGGTTACAGACTCTGCTAACCCAGAAATAGTACCTTGGGTTAAGAACTTTGCTTCAGGATGAGAACAGAAATCGTGCTCCGGCGGCGCAGCAGCAGCGGGAGGCCCCATTAGCTAAAGTGGTACCTCAGGTTAAGAACAGTTTCAGGTTAAGAACGGACCTCCGGAACTAATTAAGTACTTAACTCGAGGTACCACTATAATAATAATTATTATTTATTTATTATTTATATTTTTTAACATGCTTTTTATTAGGTTATTACTACAACACATACACACCACACTTTAAATATATATATAAAAAATCAAGTCCACTTCAGACCCCTTTTACCCTTGTTTTCATTGAATTGCATGTGCTGTTTTGCATCCCCTTCGTTCAGTTCAGAGAGGTTCTTTTGGAGCTCTTCGCCACCCTGAACAATTGAGTATCATTCGCAAACATGACTACCTCATTGCTCACCCCAAACCTTATATCATTTATAAACAATCTAAAAAGCACAGCTCCTAGTAGCAATCCTTGGGTAACGCTGAAATTTCTTTTGCGCAAAGGATAGTCTGTCAGTGAACACACCTTGCAAGCATGCATGATTTTTTTTTATCCTGTCCTGATTACAGAGGAACGAGTCACTGGGCAAAGGTGCTGAGGAACGCAGGTGTCTGGAAAATGGTATGTCAATTAAATACAGGGTATAATCTGGCAAAGCCTGATAACATTTGTGAAACCAAAGCTTTGTTTTAGAGTTTTATGCTGACACTCCCGGTTTGCATGGGGAATAACTACCATTCACTTTAATGGGAGATGTTTTCCCCTGTGTAAATCTCCAGTGTGGAAGCCTCAGTCCAGATTGAGACCATAGTGGGGTGGGGGGTGGGCAAAGGTCTGGACTGGGCAGCTGGGCTGGCAGGGATGCTGTCACAGCAGAAGTCCAGGGTCCCTCTCGCCAGAAAGAACAGGAGGGGTCTGACAAATGCAGCAGGTTTCACTTACACATTTTAAAGTGAAGTAATTGCCATCTGGGACGCGGGTGGCGCTGTGGGTTAAACCACAGAGCCTAGGACCTGCCGATCAGAAGGTGGCGGTTCGAATCCCCGCGACGGGGTGAGCTCCCGTTTCTCGGTCCCTGCTCCTGCCAACCTAGCAGTTCGAAAGCACCTCAAAGTGCAAGTAGATAAATAGGTACCGCTCCAGTGGGAAGGTAAACGGCGTTTCCGTGTGCTTCTCTGGTTCACCAGAAGCGGCTTAGTCATGCTGGCCACATGACCCGGAAGCTGTATGCCGGCTCCCTCGGCCAATAAAGCGAGATGAGCGCCACAACCCCAGAGTCGGTCATGACTGGACCTAATAGTCATTACCTTTTTACTAATTGCCATCTAAAGAGGGTCCTCACATCAGGCCGCTAAGTACGAAATCTAAAATTATCTGACTCCAACACTGCAGGCTAACAGTGTGTGTTTTTAAAATGCCATGCTCTTAAGGACACAGTTACAGAGTTGACATATTGTCTAGTTGAACCCTTGGTGTCTCTACTGTGTCAGAGACAGCGTTGGCAGCAAGTTGCCCTGTTCTGTGTCGACTTTCTTGAAATTGGTGCCTGCAGTTATAAGATGGATCATGCAGTTACAGTGCCGATACACCAATGCCAAAACATATAGGTGCTTAAGGTGCTGCCAGGACTCTTTGTGCTTAGTCTGTCCCTACAAAAGATCTGTCTATCCCTCTGGAATACTGGCACAGCTGTGTGTGTGCAGATTTAGCAAGCACAAAGCAGAGTTCTTTGATATCCATGCATGCTCAGGTTCTGGCAACGCCCTAAATACTCTGAACATTAGGGCAGATACAAATTGAAAATTCTGGTATTTCTCTCACAGTTGTTTTAATAGGGCCCTGCCACAAAAGGCAACATGGTAAAACAACCTTCTCCAGGTGGCAGCAGAACTGAGGAAGGGAGAATAGAGGCAGAGATTGGGGTCTGAATGCTGCAAGAAGCCTTCCTAAAACATTGACCCTATTGTGGGGGGAGGGTGCTATTTGGGCTCCACTTTAGGCAGCAAAACCTCTTGGCGTTGTCAAGCTCTGGTATTGCCAGGTGACTTTAATCATTGATCTTTCCACTCTGTGATGATTGGTTTAGTGTGATTGTTAATCATTGGTTTAAAGTGATTCACATGATGTCACTCAAGATAGCACTTGTGTTAAGGCAATTATCACATTTTGTTGGTGCCCATTACATAATGCCTGTGGCACATGAGATGCAGCTTCTGCCACCAATGCATGTGCCTGTTTGTTTTAAAGGTTAGCATTTTAGTAGATATGCTTTTTACATTGTTTTAATCGCATGGATCGCTTAATAGCTAAAATATATGAAAGCTTATTGTTTAAAAATTATGAGTGTGTTTTGTCTGTATTCGTTTTATTTTTTGTGAGCCCCCTTGAGCCCTGGTTTCAGAGAAAAGGTGGAGTGTAAACAAGCAAATAATCAAGAGTCACTGAGAGTGATTCCACTTGGCGGGTTTTTGAGTATGGGTAGGCAAACTAAGGCCCGGGGGCCGGATTCGGCCCAATTGCCTTCTAAATCCAGCCCATGGATGGTCCGGGAATCAGCGTGCTTTTACATGAGTAGAATGTGTGCTTTTATTTAAAATGCATCTCTGGGTTATTTGTGGGGCATCGGAATTTGTTCTTTCTTTTTTCCAAAAAATCAAATAGTATGGAATTTGTTTGCAACTTTGTTAACAGCATGTATTAACATCATAGACGTACATCGGTCTTTGCTGCCCCTTTCCTTTCTCCCTAATCTGACCTGTGAATACCTTTTGTAATGCCTCTGGTATTTTATGCAAGTGTAAGGAATAGGAAGGTGGACCAGGGGTGATTGCAAGGACACACAGAAGCAGGCTGGGAACTGCAATGAGAGGGTTAATTGAAATCTGGGTGGAAGGTATGGATATGCTAGAGACTTCTGGGAGGTGGTCTTTGGGGGAAAATATATCTCTGCAGTAATGGGGAAATTGATACCCTATTAGCATTGGCCCTGTGTTGGTTAAGCTGTCAGAATAGCTCACTGGGTGAGTACGTAATTAGATGAGCTGCAAAAAAAAAGAATAAATTTGGCAGGCTTAGATGCCTTTCTTGACCTATGTAAACAGGAACAGGAACTTAAAGCAGCTTTCAGAAACTCAGGTTGATTTGTGGAGAGCGTTACTATGAGATGAAAAGTACCGTAATTAATTCTTCTGAATGTCTTTTAACTGAGCAGGAATAATGCACAGCTGTGTTTGTATTCTATGCCTTTTATTTTAGTTGGTCAAATAACAAGTTTGTACTCCCAAGTGTTGTTTCTGATGTTGCTTTATTGTGTTAAATATTTTTTTTTAAAAAAAGCTGAGGCACAGCAGGTGGCCAGCACAACCACCCCCCCTTATACTGCTTCTGAGAGGATAGTTTGCTTTGAACACTAAACTCCTTTGAGGCTAGACTGAAACAGCCACAAAATGTGCTACTGAAGAAATTAAAACTGTTATTGCAAAAAAAGAGAAAGCACTCATTTGTTCTCCAGAAGGCCTTCCTGTGACAATTTATTAAAAGATAATTAAAATCTTGGTTTTTCCATTAAAATCTTAGCTTTACATTGTAAATAACATGTCAGACTTACTGGCACTGAATGTTGTAATGGGCAATAGTTGGGGAGATGTGTGAAATGTGTGCAGACGTAAAGGTGCCATCTGTGTACAACCTTGTACATTCTTGAACTTGATTAGATGCTGTAGCGATTGTAGGTTTGTTAAAGTAAGCTTCGCAAACTTCATCTTCAAATTCTGTATTCAAATCAGTTTCCCTAATGTATTTTGAGACCTGACATATCACCTCAACCTATATCTAGCAAGACTGAGTGGATAGCAGAGACTATGTGTTTGTTAAGCCCCTTTCATTGATGAGGCATCACTGTCCAGGTATTATTATTTTTTGCAAATGTAGTTGCCACTCGGATCACGATGGGTCATCACACTGTATTTCTTTACCACACAACTCTGCATCCCACATCACTAATCAGTCGTTAACTGCATAGGAAGCGGGTGGTGTTTGAAAATCACATGTTTTGATTTTGTCACATAAGCATTCCGGCAGGTACAGTCCTCTGTACATAGAACATGGTATGTCTTTTCCTGTTTTCCTTTTCCTTAAGGGTGAATTCATACACCAATGCATAAGTATTAAATATGGAAGTTTTTATCAAGATTGCTGTTGTATTCTTTTGATTTTTTTTTCTTTTAAAAAACAAAACGCTAATTTTTAAAAGAGGGGGAAAGTTATTCAATCAATCAATCAATCAATCAATCAATAAACCACCCCTTTGATTCATTTCCTCTGTAGGATGTTCGACGGCTAGAAATCCCTGCTGAGCTTGCTGCCCTACTCCGTTTGGCTGAAGGTGAGCAGAGAGCCTTTGACTCCTAATTATATTTTTTTTTTGGTAAAGTCCATACACTTCACACGTGTTATGCTTTAGAGTAGAGCTGAAATAAATTCCCCCTCCAAAAAAAAGTCTTGTAAGCTTACATAGGGTGTCCTTACATAATGTCCTGCTGCTTGTGGGCTTCCTAGTGGCATCTGGTTGGTTACTCTTGGAACAGAATGCTGGCCTGGATAGGTCTTTGGTCTGATCTAAGCAGGGCTCTTTGTATAAATATTGTTTCAGCAGTTCGGTTGCTTAAGTAATCACTAGCCAGTAATGTTCGATTTCAATATTAGATACAATGGTACCTCAGGCTACAGACGCTTCAGGTTACAGACTCCACTAACCCAGAAATAGTACCTAGGGTTAAGAACTTTACCTCAGGATGAGAACAGAAATTGTGCGGCGGCAGCTGGAGGCCCCATTAGCTAAAGTGGTACCTCAGAACAGTTTCAGGTTAAGAACAGACCTCCAGAACGAATTAAGTTATTAACCCGAGGTACCACTGTATTGACAGACAGTGCTTGCCAATTTGTGATAGCTAATACATGGTCTTCCAAGCTTTGGGGAGATACTTTTGCCATTGATTTGTTTGCCAAAGGACTTGAGTGTCTGCCATAGAACCACTACTTGTCACAAAGGATTCTGGGCATAAACACTGCTGGGCCTCACCATGAACCTTTGTGTACTGAGAATGTGCTAGTCTAGAACCCACCAAGCATTCACTTCTGGCTATCTGGGTGGCCACTGTTAGAACAGGATGCTAGACCAGATGGGCCATTGACCTGATACAGCAGGCACTTTTTAGTCGTCCCCCCCCCCCCGCCCATTGTAGCTACAGTTGTCGTTATTGCGTTCGCTTAGTATTTGTTTGGACACCCAAAAAATCCCTGTTGATCTCAGTAGCAACATAAAAAAAGCAAGGGTGTGCCTCACCAACTGAGCTAATATTATTAGTGTTTTCCTGTCTTGCAGGTCACCACCATGCCCAAATTAATCAGGTCACAGAAGTCTCCCCTCCAGAAGTTAAAGCAAAGACTGATCTCTCTCTGCCACCTGACATCAATAGCTTTCCATTCTCTTCGTTCATAAGGTCGCATTTCCAGGTAGGAGGTCATCTCGGAAAGTTGGAGTTCACTAGAAAAGCCAGCGGCCATCATTGTCTCTTCCACTCACTTCATAGAACGTTTAAAGTTGGAAGGGACTTGGGACGCCATTTGGTCCAATCCTAGGTGCAGAATGCAACTAAAACATCCCTGACCCATGGCTGTCTAGCCTCTACTTAAATGCCTCAAGCAAAGGAAAGCCTGCCATATTTCAAGGCAGTCTTAATTCATTGTCAAACAGATCTCAGTTCTGTTTATTTCCCTGTAGTAAAAGTCCATCTATTTGATGGTCATCATCTGAGTGTTTTGCGGGAAGAAAGGCTCTAGATAAGTCTTTCCCAGACACTGGGTCTCTTTTGGACTAAAGGTAAAGGGACCCCTGACCATTAAGTCCAGTCGCGGACGACTCTGGAGTTGCAGTGCTCATCTTGCTTTTTTGGCTGAGGGAGCTGGCATACAGCTTCTGGGTCATGTGGCCAGCATGACTAAGCTGCTTCTGGCGAACCAGAGCAGCGCATGGAAATGCTGTTTACCTTCCCGCCGGAGCAGTACCTATTTATCTACTTGCACTTCGTGCTTTTGAACTGCTAGATTGGCAGGAGAAGGGACTGAGCAACGGGAGCTCACCCTGTCACGGGGATTTGAACTGCCAACCTTCTGATCAGCAAGCCCTAGGCTCTGTGGTTTAACCCACAGCACCGCTTAACCCACAGTTAATCCACAGTTTTTGGACTACACCACCCTTTATCCCTAGCTAGCAAGACCAGTGGTCAGGAAGGATGAGAATTGTAGTCCAAAAGCAGCTGGAGACCCAGGGTTTTGGAAACACTGGTCTAGATCTTTCCTCCTTGCACCTGTAGGCCCCCCCAATCCACTGGGCTTCTTCACCCTTCCTCTTTACTTTGGCTGTCAACTCTGCTGCTGTCACGTGGGAGAAATGATTGGGGGAAACAAAAGGCCCTTTGCTTTGCCCTACCTGAACAGTGGTGGCTCTGAGAGCGATGCACATCACAGTGTCTTCACTTTGCCTAACATTAGTAATGCTTCTTATGAACTCAGCGCTTCTGTTCCTCGTCCATTGTAGGAAGTGGGTTTCCCTTCCCTTGGGCAGCCCCTGCAACAGCCTTTGACCAGACTGGATGGTGAGCAGAGGCAAAGTGCTCTGCAGCTCAACAAAGTGGTAAGAAAAACAAAAATAATGAGCAAGCAGCTAAGTAGCTAGGCCTCGCTGGAGACAGGAGATGTCCCGTCCCCCCACTCAAAGTTAAAGATGCTTTGAAGGTGGGGATCACTGCCCATGGTGTGTACAGCTATACTGATTTTCCTCTGGGGAACAAGTTTTGCAAAGTTTTAGTATGGCTTCGGAAGCCTGCAAAATCTCTTTGACCCAGACACAAAGATGACCTGTTGCATGCTTGGCTGGGGGTGGGGTGGGGGGCTGTGTTTCTACACTGTGGTGCTTCCAGTCAGGGGCTTAATTGCCAACGGGTTGTTCTGATATCATAAAGGAGTAGTTGGCAGCTTCTTCAGATGGGGGACTGAGAGGTGCCAAGAGAACTCCTCCACAACTCAGAGAGCTTCCTTTGTGTTTGTGGACTTACTGAGGAATCCAGAACAGGAAAATGCTGAGCAATTGAGAAAAGAGGGGAGAAAAGGATTGTGGTGCCCAAGATGGGTGCAGGTACCTGAGGCCCAGACACCTTTGTTCTCCATTCAGTAGAAGCTCTGGGAGATTAAATGGAGACACAGGCTTGGGTATCACTTTTTCTGGAGGTGGGGGTGGGAAACTTTCTCTTTTTTTTGGCCTGTCATGGCTTCCATTCTCTTAGGGGTCCCATTTGGTTAGGGGGTCACATGCCAGATATGGATTGGGCCAGGGCCACCCCACACTCTTTGGCTGAACACTATACACATTCTGAGTCTGTCTCCCCCTCAAAGCATTCTGTAGTTTACAAAGGGTTGCTAGGAATTGTACGGTAACTCTGTGTGAGGAGTGGTCAAAATATATTGCAAGGCGGGGTGGGCGTGAGGAATGAGCTTTTCATGCATCGTAAAGGCGCAGTGCTTATGCAGCCTTTCTCTAATCGCCCCACATTCATTCTCTGTCCCTTTCTCTCTCTCTATCACAGTGTTTCCCAACCGGTGTTCCGCGGCACACTAGTGTGCCGCCGGACGTTGCCTAGTGTGCCGTGGGAGGGAGGCGGGCGAGTCGGGCTAATCCTCTGACGAGCTCCACCTCCAGACCCATTGCTCAAATCCTTTAACCCAGGAGGGCGGGGAGGGGGGGGAGAAAGAGAAAAAAGAAAGGGTGGAAAAAAAGAAGGGGAAGAGAAAATATTTTTTTAAAAAAAGGAAAGAGAGGAAAAAAAGCGAGGGATGGAGGAAGGGGAATAAACAGAAGGGGAGGACAATGAAGAGGGGCGGGGCTTGGCAGGCAGCAGATAACTGGGGAGGGGGGCGCGGCTGGCGGCGGCTCAAGGCAGGAAGGGAGGAGCTGCCTCGCGGAGAGTCTTGGGCTGCAGAGATTTCCCGTTCAGGAGCGCGGGAGGCCACGCCGTGGATGGGAATCTCCTCCTCCTCTTCCTCCTCCTCCTCCAGGAAAGAGGGTGGTCCGCCCCACCGAGTCGGGCCTGCTCAAGCGTGGGAGCCTATAGTTAGAGCTCAGCTCCTTTTCTTGCCTTCCCCGCCCCCCCACGGAGCACATTTTCCTCGCCCCCCCAACCCCCGCATGTAGAATAGAAGCCCTCCAGCCTCCACGGTGCACAAACTCTCCCCTCTGCAACGAAGTGCTTTGTTGCATATCTTTGGTGAGGTTTTTAGGCAGTCTTGGTGCACCTTAAATCAGCGCTAATTGCGCCTGGACGCAGTATTTACTTCCGAGTAGGCCCCCTTCTCCCCCCCCCCCCGGTAGCACCTGACGTTGCTATTCGTATCATCAGGTTTGTTTGTTGATAATTTAATTGTTTTAAAAGCATCATGCTAAAGAGCTCTCTCCCACCCCCAGACCCTTGGGCAAAACAGAAACACACACATACACAAACACAGAGATTGAGCCCTGCAGGTTTTATGAAATGAATGGATTCTGAATGCCTGTTTCAGTGGCTTGTCCGCCTTAGGCCACTGGGCCAGACACCTGTTACACGGTGCAGTCCGTAAGCTGTGAGCGCTGCTACCTGCCGCCGAGACCACGTAACGACAGTCTTGAAAGACCTACATTGGCTCCCAGTACCTTTCCGAGCACAATTTAAAGTGTTGGTGCTGACCTTTAAAGCCCTAAGCGGTTTCGGTCCAGTATACCTGAAGTAGCGTCTCCGCCACCATCGTTCAGCCCAGACACTGAGATCCAGTGCCAAGGGCCTTCTGGCAATTCCCTCAGTGTGAAAAGTGAGGTTACAGGGAACCAGGCAGAGGGCCTTCTCGGTAGTGGCGCCCGCCCTGTGGAATGCCCTCCCATCAGACATCAAAGAGATAACCATTACCTTCTATGCTGTTACTATTTTTTTATTTTTTTTTACATAAGTAAAAAGTGACCTTTCCCCATCTGGCATGGTGGTGTGCCTCGAGTTTTTTTTGATGAAGCACGTGTGCCTTTGCCCAAAAAAGGTTGGGAAACACTGCTCTATCACACACATGACAGAAAGAGAAGGGAGAAGCCAAGTCGAATACTGAAGCATTTTTGCTGTAAATGCAAGGTGGCAGAATGGGTGCTCCTAGACAGGCACACTCTTTCCTTCCCACATACACGAAGCACCCCATACTGGGAGTGGCCAGGAGAAGTGTTTGGGGCCTCCCCCTGCTCTGCTTCCTCCTCGCACTTCCACCTGCAGGATGTTGCTATTGAGAGGCAACAAACAAGAAGCTGCAAAGTGAGGGTTGCGGCGCTGCTCCTTTCCCAGACCCTATGAAGGGGAAAAGAATGTAGACTTGGCACTTAGAGCATCTCTCTTTGGGTGGTGGCAGGGAGGGGAAAGGGAGGTGGCAAATTATTAACCACACGTCTGGAGAAGGGTGTCTTGCTCCCACGGGCACCGTGGCTTTGTTGATGGACCTTCGCCCCCTCTCACACAAAGATACACAGCCTAACCCCTCCCCACTAACCCCACTAGGGCCACCTGTGCACTCCCCTTCTCCCCCACCCCAGGCCACACCGTTGTCATGCGCAACAGGGGAGTTGAAAGCATTGGCTTCACAACAAAAGGATGTAAGCAGCTGCTTGCCAGCCTTCCCTTTTTCTCACTCTGTGTGCAGAGTCACCGGTGTAAAGGAGTGGGGAAGCAGAGAGGGTGAGATGTCCCCCGAAACTCAGAGGAAAAGAACGAGCCTGTTTCTCCCTCTGCCCTCCAGTCTCTCTGGCCGCCTCCTGCACACTCTCACCTCTCTCCTGTTTTCACAGTATTCTATGTCTTCCCTCTCAAATCCTCTTGTTGGGGAGACCGCAGGGCGATTAATGTGTTACTTGATGTCTGTTAGCATGCAGTGGCTCAGGACTTGCAACTCTTATGTTCGGAATCGTTCAGAAGCCATTGTGCTGGGAAGCGGGAAGTGACCACAACTGATCCACTGGCCGCATGTTTTGCTAATCAGTTCTGGTAACTGGCTCTAGAGAGAGGATGCACGCTGCCTTCCAGTTAGTCCTTAACTGTCCACCAGTTTCCCTTCTTATCTATAGGTTCTTAGAACTTGAAGGAACTGAGCAGTAGGTGGATCATTTTTGTGACTTTGCTGTGATCATGAAGAGAAGCTGTTCTTAGGGAGGAGGCTGAGGGAGGACCAGGGCTATGGAGATAAGAATAAGTTTGACTCATACAATGTGTATGTACTACTAAACCCCTTCACACATCGCTACTTATTTAACGATTCTTGAAGGAAGGTGGTTTTCTTTTTAACTAATCGTCTATGGGAAGATGGTGGCTTTTAAGTAACTCTTTTTTTAACAGGGTTTTGTTGTAATAAGAAAAAAAAGAGAAAGCCGCCATTTAATCCAGCTTGCCCATTGTGTGTATCTGCACCATACATTTAAAACACATGACTTCCCCCCAAGAATCCTGGGAAATGTAGTTTTTCCTTGCAAAGCTATAATTCCTCTTAACAAACCACAGCTCCCAGGGATCTTTGAGTTGAAAGAAATGTGTTTTAAATAGGCATGGACTGAGTTCTAAATGTGTGGTGTGGAATGAGAAAGAATGAGGGCAGACTCAAGGTCCGAGCAACTGAACAAGAATTCCTCCACTCTTAGCCTTGGACATATTGAAGGGCTTTCCTGCACGATGGGCAAAACCGTTCCCCAGCGTGGAGCACATGGAGGCTGAGTGCAATCCAGATCTCATGCGCATTTTTTGCCCCCAAAAAGCACAGAGAGAAACTAGTTTCGTTCCAAAAACAAATGCTCATTGCCTATTGATTCTGCATTACCCTACAATGTGTCCATTTGAAAACAGTTGTAGGTGGTCCTGGAAACTGGAGGTGCATCCACATTGTGGCATTGTGGGTTGGGGTGTCCCAAGATCACAATAGCTACACCCTCCTCCATTCACTTGGGGCAAGTGCAAGGGTGATACTAATCAAGGGGAGGATTTCCAAATGCAGATCAAGTAACCACACCCACCTCCTTGTTTAGGGCTGAATCTAGACTCAATCTAGATTGAAAGCAGCATGTTGAAGTTGAAGATGAATGACTCAATTTTTTAAAAAAACCCACAACACTACATTTTTGTGTGTCCAGCAAAAGCAAAGTAATCTGCTTCGGGCACAGTTCTGCTGCAAGTGCCAACTGCCTCTGTTCCTACCTGCAATGGTTCTCCAAGAGGGTGATCAAGGTGGCGGCTTGATCTTGTCGCTTGAGGTCTGCTGCCTGACTCGGATCACACCTTTACCGGTTCCCTTACAGATCCTGCGGTTCATCAATGACAAAGACCTGCAGGACTGGGAAGAAAAACTCCTGGGGAACTATATAGCAAGTCGAGGGCTGGCCAGTCTCTCCCTGCGCAATGAGCTGTTGAGCCAGGTGGCCAGTCAAGTGTGGAAGAACCCAGACCTGGAGCAAGGCCAACGAGGTTGTGTGTTGATGGCTGCCCTCCTGGGCTCTTTTGCCCCTTCTCCAGCTCTGGAGAAGCCCCTGTTGAAGTAAGAAAAAGGCTCTGCTCTCCACTTTTTAAAAACACCACTCATAAAATGGAGCCGTTTACGGAAGGATTCTGCTTTTTTGGCGTACAGGTTTGTGTCTGACCATGGTCTGGATGGATATAACGGCGTTTGCCAGCGTAAACTCCTGATGTCAATGAAGCAGATGGAAAGCGACCCAGAAGTGTCCCGTAGCTTTCCTCCCACCCAGCTGGAGTGGACTGCCAATCAGAGGAAAGGCAAGATGGTGTTGGATGTTTACACCTACAAAGGTAACAGCGAATACTTAGCATACTCACAAGGGCAGACCTTGGTAATATGCTGCCCTGTGCAAGACCATTGGAAGCCCTCACCCACAGCCGTCATGGCACCTACTTAAGCCAGACTCTGGGAAGGATGTGCAAGGCCCTCTACCTCTTTCCCAAAGCCCAGTAAGCGCTTGGCCAGCTTTAGGAGGGAGGCAGGAGGACTCTAGTACCCTTTCAGAGCCCTACACCTCCTTCCCGAAGCAGGGCAAGCGCTTACCAGGTTTTGAGAAGGCTATGTGCCTGATGTGACCGCACCACTCACACTGCCCTGATACCCATCAGAATTGTTGGGAACAAATAGTATTTCCGGACCAGGCCCTTCGTGATATTGCAGTTTGCAGTTGTAAGGCTTTTATTTTAGCATTCTGTCTTTCGCTTTTTTCTTTCTTCTGGCTTAGAGGAGAGGCTTTCAGCCGAAGTGGAGTCCTGGACAACAGGAGAGCAATATGCAGGCTGGATCCTGAGTTCAAGGTACACGCAGAAGCAAAAGGAGTAGGTTTTGATCTGACAGTTTCTGTTGTCAGAGCAATTGATCTTTGAGGTCAGCAAAGGCTCAGGCTGTTATCAGCGTGTTCTGCAGCAGCATGAGAAGGGCGCTTTCGGTAAATAATTATGTAAGGACCAACCCCAGGCCGTGTTATTACTTCCTCATCCCAGGCTGTTGGAGCTTGTCTTTAGTCATAAAAATGAATGTTTGAGCTCCCCCACCCCCTCCCTTTTTTTTTTTTAAACTGGAAATCCATTTAATGCTTTGGAGAAGTTAGACTGTCTTTGGAGAGAAGAGTGGTATTCATGAGCCTCAGTTCAGCTCTTTGTCTGCAAAGAGCAGTGGCCTCCCCCCAACCTCATGTGCCCCCCAAGTGTTTTGGACTACAATGGTACCTTGGGTTAAGAACTTAATTCATTTGGAGGTCCGTTCTTAACCTGAAACTGTTCTTAACCTGAAGCACCACTTTAGCTAATGGGGCCTCCCGCTGCCGCTGTGCCGCCGGAGCACGGTTTCTGTTCTCATCCTGAAGCAAAGTTCTTAACCTGAGATACTATTTCTGGGTTAGCAGAGTCTATAACCTGAAGCGTCTGTAACCCGAGGTATCACTGTACAATTCTTGATCAGCCCCAGCCAGCATGGGCAAAAACAGAAGCCTTTTGTTTTTCCCTCTCTGCCTCACACCCAGGGCCGTCTTAAGCATATCTGGTGCCATGGTGCAAAGATCCCTCTGGGCGCCCCCCCCTTTCCCAGAGTTGTCGAACCTTTCCCCAAGCCTCTGCAGGGATCGCTCTCCTCCCACAGAGGCTTGGGAGGCAAGCTGCATACCCACCAGCCATATGGTTGGCAGGGTGCAGCTGGTGGGCGTGCAGGGAAAGGGGAGGCCGCCGGCAAAGCCACACAGTTCCCCCACTTGCTGGGGCACCCCTAAGAGGCTGGCACCGTGGCGCAACACGTCACTAAGCCCAATGGGAAAGACGGCTCTGCTCACACCTTCTTTCTCACCCCTGTCTTCTGGCACCCTGCACTTCCTCTCTGTGTCGTAATGTCCCCTCACTCTGCTGATTTCAGGGGCCTGGATACCGTACCTCGCGGCTGGTCTGTGTCCATGTTCACAGGCAAGGCGTGGCAGGATTTGCCCGGTTGTGACTTTGTGCTGGATCTCATTGGAGAAATAGAGGAAGGCAACTGGCCCTCTGAATCCTCCCCTGACTATCCTATAACCCCAGAGTGGGATGAGAGCTATTCCTATCAGAGCTCTTCAGATAGGTGAGTGAACTCCTTCCTTGCCACTTGTCCCCAGCTACAACCTCGATCGTATTCCCATAAACCTCTGCTTCTGTGACCTTACTGGCTTTCTCCCCTGGCAGGATGCCCTTGGACATCCCCCCTGCTCCAGGCATTCGGGCACCTTCCGTCCCCCCACCCCCCCTGCCTCCAGACTTGGACAACATCGCTCATTCAGGTGAGTCCCAATCTCAGGGCAGTGATGGCCCTAAATTCAAAGGTGGCTGGACAGCACCAAGGAGTGTGTGAACCTGAGTGTCTGGTTTCCAGGCTTTGAAGCAATGTGGGCTTTGTGTGTGTTCAGTGTGTGCGGGAGACTTAAAGAGAAAATGTTGAGGCTGTAGAATTAGCATAGGTAAAGGTAAAGGGACCCCTGACCATTAGGTCCAGTCATGGCCGACTCTGGGGTTGTGGTGCTCATCTCGCTTTATTGGCCAAGGGAGGCGGCGTGCAGCTTCCGGGTCATGTGGCCAGCATGACTATGCCGCTTCTGGCGAACCAGAGCAGTGCATGGAAATGCCGTTTACCTTCCCGCAGGAGCGGTACCTATTTATCTACTTGCACTTGACATGCTTTCAAACTGCTAGGTGGGCAGGAGCAGGGACCGAGCAATGGGAGCTCACCCCGTCGCGGGGATTCGAACCGCTGACCTTCTGATCAGCAAGTCCTAGGCCCTGTGGTTTAACGCATAGCGCCACCCACATCCGTAGAATTAGCATGGGGAAGCACAAATGGTGCTAAGAGAGTAGGGAGGAGCTTGGCCTGATTTGTTTCCATCTCCCAACAGAGTCGAGCTACAGAGGTAGCTCCAGATCCGCTGGAGGGCTGGATCACTATGTGGACGGTCTCTTCATGCCTCTGCTGCATCATGGGGCCAGGAGTCAGACGCCAGTAAGTCTGCTCATTTCTCATCTGTTCAATTGTTTGCTGCTCCTTTTCTCGTGCACTGTCCTTCCAACAAGTCTGCCTTTCCGTTTCCCGTTTCGTTTGCTAGCATTTAGATCTGTAGTGACCATTCATGTAATTCATAGTGAATTACGACCCTGTCCTACGTTCAGTTGTCTGAACTCAAAGACCAAATCAGGCGGATAAGCTGTGTACTAAATGTTGGGCTGTCTCTTGCTTCTCTGCAGGATATGGAGAGTGAAGGGAATCTGACCGGACGCATGAAAGGAGGTGGGAAAATTGGACCCACTCACCATGGAGCCTTCTCAGGTGCGACCCAAGCAGGAAAGATCCAGCATTTGTACATGATGGGGAAGGGAGTTCAGGGTTTGGTCCTTTGGGGATGATGGCCACCAGCGGCTGTTCTTTTAGCAAGCATTAAGCTGTATGTGATCTAAGATGTGTGTGGAATTATGCTCATATACCTGGCACACACTTCATGCTGTTGGGTGTGAATAATGAGATTCTATACATGCACACTTTGGACATGTATAAGCCCTAGGAAATTCTGTCAGGCCTACAGAATCAGGCAGGGACCTGCTTCCACAACATGAAATGGTTGCCATACCCAGAATGCCCAGCAGCACCCTCACTATATGGCCAACTACGCCAAAGTTATCTCAGTGCAAGTCCTAGGAGATATAATTTTTTAAGGATTTTGCCTTGAATGTCATTTCCCCCAAAATAATAAGCATTTCTATGAGTCCTCCATTTTCTCCATTCCATCATATTTCTACGTGTGGTGAAATAATTGCCTTCCCTAGAGCCAAATGGTAGTAGGCTCCTACTTTGTGGTGGTGGTTGCTGACTAAAGATGAGGGAGAAATTTGGTTCCGTTCCTGTTTTAATGTGAACCTGCTTAATTCACACTTCCTGAAACAATATGAAATGACTTCCTGAAACCAAAATCTGCACTTTTCTGACTTTTGTAATGTTGTTCTCCAAACGAAACAGTGTTCAGAAATGTGTTTATTAGGGGTAAGTGTGCATTGCGTAAAAATGCACATATAAGTTAAAGTAACATACAAAAACGCATCATTTTAGGGGATATTACATGCAAAGAGGTGCCTAGGAGGAGGAGAGGTGCACACTAAAATGCTGACTTTTCATGATAACTTTAAAAAAAAACAACCTGCTATGAAAATGTGATTGAAAAAAATGAGAAACCAAAAGAAGGGTGTTGCATTTTGGGCAGGAATTTAAAATTCCTCTTTGCCGCTCTCTTCCAGCCTTCCCAGCCTTCTCTAGTTATTCAAGGGGTTTGTATGTCTCTTGTGGTGGTTTGTGTGCATTGCGTGCTGCTGTTGTCCTTGGTGATGTCTGGTTGCTTGTTCTGACTTGGGAAGATACTTAGCTGGGTACCACAAGGATGGAGCCAGCAGCCTCTAGGTTTGCTCCAAAGGTATGGAGTGTGTGTGAAGATTAGTAGTTAATGGAAACCGGGGTGGGGGTGGGGATTTGCCCGGTGCATGTGAGCAGGACCACCAGTAAGTCTGGCTGTTCGACTTGGTGATAACTTTCACACGAGACACAGCAATGCAGTCTTTCCTTCTTCCATTAGGCTATTCGGGAATGATGAGCATGCCGTCTTACCAACCTATGCCCGTCACGGGCGGAATGATGCCAGCCACCATGCCAATGATGCCAGCGCTTGGTGGAATGGGAACAATGCCAGGTAAAAATAATACAGAAAATGTGGCAAGGGTCAGAACAGGTTGAAATGCAGGAGATTTTGAGGTGGGGCAGTGGAGAAGGCTGTCATTTATCCTTTGCACAATAGATCCCTGTGTCTCTTTTCTTACTATCCAACTGGCTTGCTAAAACAGGCTGAGAAGAAAATGTGTAAGTTTAAAAACAAGTCTTCTTGCCTCAATGTGTTACAAATGACATAAAAGCATGTGGAATGTACTCTGCAACTTGGCACTGTACTTCTGTTTCAGTCAAGCTTTAACAACTATTTTACAAGCTTTTTCGGATTCACTGAATACAGTGGTACCTCAGGTTACATACGCTTCAGGTTACAGACTCCGCTAACCCAGAAATAGTGCTTCAGGTTAAGAACTTTGCTTCAGGATGAGAACAGAAATCGTGTTCCGGCGGCGTGGCGGCAGCGGGAGGCTCCATTAGCTAAAGTGGTGCTTCAGGTTAAGAACAGTTTCAGGTTAAGAACGGACCTCCGGAATGAATTAAGTACTTAACCCGAGGTACCACTGTATAGTAAATATAGTATTGGAAAGAGGAGAGTTAGTATGGAATTGTGTTGAATTTTGCAGTCCTGTCCCCTGATAATATTATCCCCATCTGGGAGGAAGAGCCTCTGGTTGCTGTGCATTCAACAGGAAGTAACCACATACTATGTGGATCTCGGACGTCAGCTTGATGAGCCTTCATAGATGTCTCTTTCTCTCACTCAGCTATGGCTATGCCTCAGCCTCAGCCCATTATGCCATCAGTGGATCCAAACCAGATAGCTGCACAGCAACAAGCCTTTATCAACCAGCAGGCCATGCTCATGGTAAGTGAAAGGGTTTAGAACAATGGGCGATGAGCAAGTGAGTACAAGGAGCTTTGGAAACATAACTATGCTGTTGCCTTTTAGCCACTGCATATCATCGCTCCTCACCGACATTTGGCCAGTCGCATACTCGCCTAAGAACGTCTTACCTCCTACGTGCACCACAAGGCGGTGTCCGAGTTGTTCCCCAGCGCTTTTTCAATTCTTCTTCTCAAATGTTGTTTCAATGGTGTTCCGTAACTGCTTTTAAGAGATTATATTGTATTATATCTATATTGAGCATGAGCGGTTTAAAGTCAGTTAATGAATAACTGTAAAACAAACAAACCATATAATGGTCTCAGGAAGCTTCATCCCCTTCTTTTTCGCTCCAAATGTATATCTACTTGTCTCAAAATCCCCCGGGTTAAAAGCCTGAAACTGCCATGTTGATCAGGCCAAAGCTCCTGAAAAATTGGATTTCATGTTTCAGGCTCAGCAGATGACCCTTCAAGCCATGACAATCTCCCAGCAGCAGCAGCAAAAGGAGCAACAGCGCCAGCAAAAAGACAGGTCTCCTGAGCTTTCAAGGCCAAGACGAACATCACCACAGAGGAGGTCACCTGAATTTTCAAGGCGAAGTCGAGCATCAGAACAGGAGCGATCGCCTGAATCTTCAAGGCCGAGGCGAGTGTCACCACGGGAACGGTCACCAGAATCTTCAAGGCCAAGGCGACCGTCTCCTCCTCCACATCTGCCAGCTCCAGCTGCTAAACCCAAGAGCCTCAAAAGCACCACCAAGCAAGATGCATCAGTGCCTGATCTACAAGAATTTCCATCTCTGCCACCAGCACCGGTACTGGGTGTCCAGCAAGTATTCCTCTGTAGAAATGCCCGCACGACTTCTGCATCATAGCGTGGTTTCTGCAAAACCACAAACCTTAAAGCATTGGTCTTCCAGATGTTGCTCATTTGCAACTCCCATCACCCCCAGCAAGCAAGGCTAGTTGCCTGGGATGATGGGAGTTGTATACAGCAACATCTGGGAGTTGTAGTTCAGCAACAAAGGTTCCCCACACCTGACTCTAAAGAGAGAAAGAGCTGAACTCTGGCCATGCTGCTTTATGATTTTACGCTCCCGTTGCTCGGTCCCTGCTCCTGCCAACCTAGCAGTTCGAAAGCACGTCAGTGTGCAAGTAGATAAATAGGTACCGCTCTGGCGGGAATGTAAACGGCGTTTCCGTGCACTGCTCTGGTTCACCAGAAGTGGCTTAGTCATGCTGGCCACATGACCCGGAAGATGTACCTTGGCCAATAAAGCGAGATGAGCGCCGCAACCCCAGAGTCTGTCTCGACTAGACCTAATGGTCAGGGGTCCCTTTACCTTTACTATTAGCTTGTTAGAACTCAGATCTGGTTCTCACAAACAGCAGATAACATTCTAAACCTGTGTCCAAGTGGGGGCTCACATGACTGAATGCTACTCAATACAAAAAGAGGTTCCCTCTATATAGAAAATATGCAAAGGTGAAAGCCAGAATTCTTTCCCTGACATCTAGTTTTGTTGGGGTTTTCCTTTAAAAAAACCTTAATGCGGGAGAATTTAGTCACGTGAGCTCCCACCTGCAGCTTGCAGCGTTAAAGCCCAGGCACGGGTTTCTTTTAAACTAGCTTTGAGTTGGGCATGACTGAACTGCCACAAAATGCTATACCGTATTTTTCGCCCTATAGGACGCACTTTTTCCCCTCCAAAAATGAAGGGGGACAGTGTGTGCGTCCTATGGGGCGAATGCAGGCTTTCGCTGAAGCCTGGAGAGCGAGAGGGGTCAGTGCGCACCGACCCCTCTTGCTCTTCCAGGCTTCAGGAGAGCCGGGTCACCAGCCCCGCAAACTCGGGGGACAGCGGGAGGCGCAGCGCGCCTTTCCCGCTGTCCCCCGACTTGGCTAGAAGGCTGGCGGGGGGGGGGGGAGAAGCCTGCTCCTCCCCGTCGCCAGCCCCGCAAACTCGGGGGACAGCGGGAGGCGCAGCGCGCCTTTCCCGCTGTCCCCCAACTTGGCTAGAAGGCTGGCGGAGGGCTTTCCCCTCCTCCAGCCCCGCAAGTTCCCAGAGCGATGCCAAAGCTGCCAAAGCCCGAGCTTCCCCAGCCCCGCGCCTGGGGGAGGGGAATAATTTTTTTCCCTTTATTTCCCCCCCCCCCAAAAAAAATCTAGGTGCGTCCTATGGGCCGGTGCGTCCTATAGGGCGAAAAATACGGTATATGGGGTGGGGAGATGGCTCCTCGTTTTTTCAGACATCCCTGATTAGGATCAGTCAGCGAGGCCTAACTGAGGAACATATTGGGTTATGTGTTCTAGATCCCCCTCCTCCACGGAAACCAGTCCTCAGACATCAGAGAGGACCCCATCTCTCGAGAGTCATTCCAGAAGAAAGTGGAGTTCTTCCAGAAAATGGGTGAGCCACATCATGCTGTTGCTCTGGGCTTCATCTGGGCGTCATTCCATTTTTACACATCAGTATATTTTTACACATCAGTATATTTTCATGCTGCACTCTAATACAAATTACTATAATTATTAACTGCTTTGTGGTACTAATTCATTCCTGAGGGAAGTGCCAGTGTTTTGTAAGAACCCAAGTGCATTCCTGGGGAATAAACAATCTTTTGAGTTCTGCCAAGGAAAAAAAAAAGTATCTCTAGGTGAATGGGAGGCAAGGTGAGGAACCTCTATTGACAGGTCAGTCTTGTGCTTCCATGGTTCAGCTGTTTGGGTTGAGGATGAAAATGCAGCCTGCCCCCCCCCCCCAGTAAATCCTACTAGGAACATTTCTTCACCACCATCTTTAGCAGCCTTCCTCAACCTTGTGCCCTGTGGATATTGTCCCATCTGCCCCAGCCAGCATGGCCAAAAGTCAGGGATGATGGGAACTGTAGTCCAAAACACTTGCGAACACCAGGTTAAGGAAGGTTGATCTATATCCGTGTGTACTTTACTAAACTCTCACCTAAGGTATGACACGTTTTATGTCCCTTCTGCTGTGCTTGTGGCACGCTATCACTGCAAATAAATACAGTGGTACCTCGGGTTACAGACGCTTCAGGTTACAGACACTTCAGGTTACAGACTCCGCTAACCCAGAAATAGTACCTCGGGTTAAGAACTTTGCTTCAGGATGAGAACAGAAATCCTGCTCCGGCAGCGTGGCAGCAGCAGGAGGGCCCATTGGCTAAGGTGGTTCCTCAGGTTAAGAACAGTTTCAGGTTAAGAACGGACCTCCAGAATGAATTAAGTTCTTTTGCGGCTTCCGATTGGTGGCAGGAGCTTCCTGCAGCCAATCAGAAGCCATGCTTTGGTTTCCGAACCTTTTGGAAGTCGAATGGACTTCCAGAACGGATTCCTTTCCGACTTCCAAAGTCTGACTGTAAAAAACATTAAAGGAGGATATACAGTCAGCTTAGGGAGAAGGGGTGTTGCTGGGGAACATCCTAAGGGCCAGGCAGAGAAGCCAGGAGGGGCTCATTGAGTCCCCAGGCCTGATGTAGGCTGGTCTGCTAGTATGGGGCTGATCTACAAATTCCTTCCAACCAACAGTGGCTTGTATTTAGTATTCTAACTGGACTGATGCTGCCAGATCAGATTTAAGAAATTGTTGGCGCTTGATTGCCCCTGCTTCTCTACACAGGGCAGCAGAAAAGTCATGTGAAGAAAGCACCTCCTTCTCCAAAGAGGTGGACACCTCCAAGTAAACCATCATCAGAAGAGCAAGAGACTAGCCCACAACCAAATTCAGGTAAGTTCTGGTCATGAATATAGTCTTTGCACAGCCTAGCTTCAGTAATGGAGTTCTAGCTTCAGTAATGGAGACGGAATGCAACTAAATAAGGAAGTAGCAAAATACTTATGCATGAGATTGGGAAGGCGCTAAGTAGAAAGATCTGGCCAGGGTAGAGAAGTGTGTAAGGTAGAAACAAGGCGAAATCATTTTGCTTATTTAGAAAACAAGCACGCACACCTTTTCTCTTAATCCTTTGCTGCAGGTTCGCCACACTCTACACAGACAGAAAATGACCAACATTCTCAGCCAACCCAGGAAATACGGCGCATCATCAAAACTCACAAGGCTCAGCCTGTCCCACCTCCAAAACCCATCATCCCACTTAGGTGAGGAATGGACCTGAGCCTGGTCACGGAATTAGAACTCCTTTTAGATATTTGTGCCTGCAGAAGCTTCCATGGTTGCCCCCGTGCCAGTCAGAGAACATCTAAAGGTTTGGTGGGTTGCCACAATGTTGGACTTGTCCACATGTCACATTAAAGCCATAGCTAATGCCAACCGTTGTTAACATTATCCTTCGTTTATGAAGCTTGGTTAAAGAGGAAGACTATGATCGGATTAACATTGGTTTGTTATGCCGCAGCTGAGTTTATCTGAGTTAATCTCAGTGCCACCCAGTGGCATGCGACGAAATTTTTCGTAGGAGAACAGTTAGGGCATGGGTAGGCAAACTAAGACCAGGGGCCAGATCCAGCCCAATCGCCTTCTAAATCCGGCCCGCGGATGGTCCAGGAATCAGTGTGTTTTTACATGAGTAGAATGTGTCCTTTTATTTAAAATGCATCTCTGGGTTATTTGTGGGGCCTGCCTGGTGTTTTTACACGAGTAGAATGTGTGCTTTTATTTAAAATGCGCCTCTGGGTTATTTGTGGGGCATAGGAATTCGTTCATTATTTTTTTCCCAAAATCTAGTCCGGCCCCTCACAAGGTCTGAGGGACAGTGGACCGGCCCCCTGCTGAAAAAGTTTGCTGACCCCTGAGTTAGGGCCAGAGGAGCCAGCTTGCAAGGGTGATGGGGGAGGGAATGTTGTGTGTGTGAGCATCATGCCCCCTTCCCTGTCATCGCATTGCACCTCCCTCCCTAAGCCAGGCAGAAACTTCCCAGGCTTTGGAAGGAGGCACCAGGGCATGAATACTCTAATTTACCATGAACATTTAGGAGACTAGCCTAATCCCTCAAGTACACTGACCACACACCATTGGTGCCACCTTCTCTGTGACTCCAACTTGTTATCAGAGGTCTTTGTGGCACCCTTTCCCTGGCAATGCCTCACTGTGACAGTGGCATCACTAGCGTGCTTGCTATTATTGGCTGGTTAGACAGACGCAGTGGGCCCAGCCAGGCCAATGTGGTTCACTGCTTCGCAAACCGTGAACTTCCCAAGGGGCTGGATGTTGCCTGTGCACGAACCATCTTGTCATAGCAACTCAACATGGGCAGAAGTCTCTAGCTGTTCTTTGGCCAACATGGGAAGAACAGCAGAGTTGTCCAATTGCATTTGTAAGAGACTGTCCGAAGAGGGGTCTCTGAGGACAGGCGTTTTGTTTACTTTTACTGTTGGCCCATACAGCTAACTCACCAGAGCTGGTTTTAAGTTTTTCCCCCTCCTATTTGACTTACAGAAACGTCTCTAAACCTTTCGTGAAGAAGAATGACCCAAAGGAGGAAGCTCTGGCAAAGCTGGGGATTGTGGGACACTCACAGGTCAGTAATAGCTTGTCGCTTCCAGATGGTTTCCGTTGTGACACACCTAGAAAAACCATTGTGGTCAGCAGCCAAAGTCCTGTTGGGTTTCTCCAATTAGCTGTCATGGTGGCAATAAAAATGAAATAAATCTGTATAAGTCACTACATTTGCCTTAGAGAGAAAAAGTGGGATACAAGTAGGACAAATAAAAAACAAAAAATATATATACCAAGTGTGACTGGATATCAGAAGGCTCCAGGCTTTTATCGATACAGACTTGCTGCACTACCATCACCCCTCTGTCTGCATCTTCTTTTGGAGCAGTCCCATGAGAGCCATCTGGTTGAAGCTTATTTGGGTTTTAGAAAGATGCTTGAGATTGAAATGAGGAAAGTGTTGCAATTTTCGTTAAGAACCATTCACCACTAACTCTGATCCCGATGTCCTTGGAAGGCAAACTTTTGTTGATTTACAATGCAATAAGCTCACTTTGGGGGTAACTTCCCTGCCACACCCAAGTCACCTGGAGTCTTGTTACTGATGTGGTTACTTTAACCCTCCAGTCCAGGCCTGCTGGAGTGGGTTATCCAGAGAAGTAGCGACACGGATGCCTCTTGTCTCCTGCAGTTTACGAGATTACTGCCAGAAAGCTTTCCTAAGTGGGTTAAATTAAGCAGTTTGTTTGCTCTTCAGCCTTCCATGTTGCTACTCTAGGACTGCAGGTGTGACCTGTGGCCATGTTTAAAACACTTCTCCTCCGCCTTGCTTTTTCTTTACGCAAACAGCTGTCCTCTGCATCACCAGAGGGGAGCCCCCAAGCTTCTCCTCCTCCACTGCCACCACCTGGCAAGCTGTCCAGCTCCATCAAAGAAAAGCAGCTGCCCCTCATGAACCTATTTGCTCGGCCGCCACCAACCTCCCCTCCTAACCCGGAGGTTCCTCTTCCCCCCCTTCAACCTCCACCAGCCCTTCCTTCGGACTACGCTTCAGAAGAAACTGGCATGAGAGGTATGTGGAGGAGCTTAGACTCTGCAGCCTTGACTTTGCGATTAGTGAGTTGATCTTCTCATCCCCTGTGCCTGCTGATTATCTGTGGCTCATCTTTAGGGTGCAGAGCTATGTGCTCGCTATCCATTCAAAGCACATTTCCTGTCCTCAAAGAATCCCGGGCACTGTGATTTATTATTAAGGGTTGCTGGAAATCGTAATTCCATGAAGATTAAACTGCAGTTCCCAAGAATTCTCTGGTGGAAGGGATGTGATTCGAATGTGTTTTAAATGTATGTACAGTGGTACCTCGGGTTACAAACACTTTGGGTTACAGACTCTGCTAACCTGGAAGTAGTACCTCAGGTTAAGAACTTTACCTCAGGATGAGAACAGAAATCACGCAGCGGCAGCGGGAGGCCCCATTAGCTAAAGTGGTACCTCAGGTTAAGAACGGTTTCAGGTTAAGAACGGACCTCTGGAACAAATTAAGTTCATAACCAGAGGTACCACTGTAGTGTGTATGCACCTTGGGGCAGCCTTCCCTGCGTCTGATGGGAGTTGTAGTCATAGCATCTGCAGGGCCACCAGGTTGGGGAAGACTGGTATGGGCCCACAATTCAAAGTGCTGGTCATTATCGATAAGAGGCCTGTTAGAAATAATGTCTTCTTCCACATGCCTCTGCCAAAGCCCTTCTTTTCATCGCAAAGACCGCCATTTTTATTATTGTGTGTATCATTATTCTTTATAAAACCCTTAATAAAAATTATTATCCAAGGCCATTGTGTGAGTCTCTCGACACCTGAAGTTAGGCAGGTGAAGACCAAGGAGAGTTTTCTCAGTGCCCAACATATGAATCGTTTTCCCCTGAGAAGCTGACATGACATCTACCTTGATATCTATTTGATATCAGGCAGTGGTTCCAATTTGGACTTTTAGCTGGTCTTAAATGTCTTCTTCAGGATATTGCTGACTTTGCTTACTCTGTGGCTTTAGCTTATGTGTATTGTTATTTTATTCAGTTTCTTGTGTTCGTTTTTATTATTTTAAATCGTACACAGCCTTGGGAGCCTTGTAATGTAGGGCAGTTTAGAAATTCACCCAACCAGCAAAAACACTTCCCTTTTAGTAGGTTGTTGTTTTAGAAAGCTTTTTACCTACCTTATGGATACGGTAGGCTATAAATCTGAACAATTCAACAAATCTACAACAATATTTACTGAAACCCCTAAAAGGGGAGTTAGATGAATGATGCTTTCTTATTTTGGGGAGAACATGACGGTGGATAGTGAAGATCTTGGCAGTACCACAATATATTGATTTGTAAGCCCCTTTGAGGGCCGCTTTGGTGGAAAAGTGACATATAAATGGTGAAGCAACCATAATAATAATAAAATCCCTTCTTCTGACATCCCCTTTGTTAGACTCAGCTCTGACAGTGGTGGAAGATGGCGGGATCAGAACCCAGCTCTTAGGACACTCTGCTAGTGTTACTTTCTCCTATGCCAACCCTACTTGGAAGCTCTTCCTGCGCAAAGAGGTATGTCAAGGTCCATTGCATCCCAGCGCTGTTTTCTGGAAGTGGGAGAACTGGCTAATCCGACTTTGCCGTGTACACCTGTGATGGGAGCATCTCGCAAGAGCTGGGAGTCCTGGTCATGTGACCTGTCACGGACACTGCTCTGCTTTGTCCTGCTTTTCAAATTGAGCTGGAACCATCTCAGTGTGTTCCCTCGTTCTAGGAAGTGCAACAAAACAAGTGTTGTGGTAAAGACATGTGATGGCACGGCCTCATGGTCTCTCCCACCGTGATAAATTCTGCATGTTGGGAGTAGGAATAATCCTGGGAATAGTAAAGGAGGAAAATAAATTCTGAATAGATGTGATGACCACAAGGCCCGGGGCAGATATAAATCCACACACTGTAATAGGGATCGATTTGGACTCTTTATGTCTTGTTTGCATGCCTTGCCCTGAGGAGGACAGGAGATGAAGAGCAAGAATGGGACTCCTCGCTCTCCTTATGCCAAGTTTGTTGGGTGGGCGAGTTGTGTAAAGAATCAGCTGTTCTTCTTTGAACTTCAGTCAAAACTGTGTCCTTAAAAAATTAACTCACACCAGTGCACTGGATCACTGGTTGGCTTGGATGGAGAGAGAAATGGTTACATGTTTTGAAGACAGCTTTGTGTTTGTTTCCCAACAGGTTTTTTACCCCAAGGAAAACTTCAGTCATCCTTGTTGCTTAAATTTGTTATGTGACCAGGTGAGCAGCATCGGGGGCGGGGGGTGTGTGTGAACTCACTTTCCTTCTTCTTGGTCCATTAACATCTGCACATTTCTTTCTTTCCCCTTTTTCCTCTCCTTGGGTTTTTGTGCCTTCTTAAATCCACGCACCTGCTTTCTGCTTTGAGCTTTGAGCTTCAAAGCTCTTGGACTGACGTTTCCAGTAAGACGTATGTGAGTCTAATCAAAGTCAATCTTCTTTGCTCCCTCTCAGATCATGACAGACACTTATTCGGAGTCATGCATTCGGATCTCCAAAGAGGAGAAGCGTAAGATGAAAGACTTGTTGGGTAAGCAGCCCCCTCTCCAACCACTCGACCCTAACCCATGCCCCATATGTCTTGGGGACATACAGCTTCTTCCTGGAATTAAAAAGGCTCCTTGGATGCATCTTCCACAGGCTGTGCATTAGGGATGTGTGGACTGTCATGTGCATATCCTGTCTTATAGCACACTTTGTGCTGTCTCGGTAGTTTATTAACTTATCAAACAACCACCTAAGATTCCTCTTCGTTCCACAAGTGTGATTCAACAGATGTTAGAGTTGCCTCTACATTCTTGCAGATATAGTATTATTACCTGTCCTTCACCCTAAAATCCCAGGGTGAGTTACAACCATTTAATGCAACATTTAAACAGTAAAAAAAAAAAGTTTTTACTGATTTTTCACAGATAACAGAGGCACATATAACGTCTTTGTCTTCAGTTACATTAGGTGAGACATTGCTATCATAGGCATTGTGAGGTTTGGTGGCGGGGGTGGGGAGAGGCGAGAGAAAAAGTGGGGTGGTGATTTTGCTATCAGAATATCAGATTCCTGCTTCTAGAATTTTGCTTTCCGTGCTTGAAACGTTTGGGGTTTGGTGCTGCATAACTAAGGGGGCTGACTAAAGATACGAATGAGCCAATTTCTCCAGCAGAGTTAGCACAGCTTAACTCTGTTAAGACTACTAATGACAAATTTGAACCATTTCCTGTCCCTGCTGATTAAACGTTTTCCTTTCTGCATCCTTGCCAGTGGCGTTCCAGGTGGGCATGGATGCCAGCTCCATTCTAGATGATGGGATAAAGAAGAGGATTGTGGTAGCTGCTCGTGATAACTGGGCCAACTATTTCTCTCGCCTTTTCCCAGTTAAGGTAAGTCAGGCTAGCTGTTGCTTGAGGGACCTGGGACCTTATCTCCTGTAAAGGGGTGGGGAGAGAGACTCTCTTGGGTTTTGCTTGCGAGTTGGGTGGGTGATTCGTTTATGTCCCTCACCCTTTTATTAGCTACTACTCAACATTGGTGCTGACTCTGCCTAGGTCACTACTTGGAATGTTTTAAACAGTTTAAATAATAATAATAATAATAATAATAATAATAATAATAATAATAATAATAATAATAAATAAAATAACAACTTTTATTTATACCCCACCCTCCCCAGCCTCAGGGCAGCTAACATCAGATATATAACATTAGTATAAAATCAAACAATAATTAAATTACCTCCTAAAAACAGGTCAAAATCAAATTAAAGTCTAATTAGATGGCTTTCCGCAGGGTTAGGGTTGGGAACAGTAAGTGCTCATCGGCCCAACTGTGAAGCCACAAGCTTCAAGTTAAAGCTCATCCCATCCGTTACCTGATTGTATGGTGTCTTAGGCAAACCATGATTCCCTCAGCGTCCTATCTTCAAGCAGTTGGGGGCAAGGGTTGGAGATGGAGTAAGAAAATAGTACCTCACAGGGCTAATGTGTAATAAGGAAATAATTTATGTGACTATCTCAGAATGTTTGAAATGCTCTGCATATATACAAGTGGTACTATTCAAGCAGGCCTAACACATCCTCAAAGCTAAACCAAATGCATTCAGAATAATCCAATGTGTGTGTGTGAAACTTGTTGTACCTGAACAACTTAATGCTGCAGTTGGGAGGTTGCATATTTGAAAGCTGGCCAATGTGTGTATTGAGAGGGGAGACTCCCTGCACTTAGGAAATGACCTCATTGGCAAGGAGATACTGTCGTGTTGCCCTTTCCCTGGTGAATAAGTTCTCCAGCCCAGTTTAATCAACAGCTAGTTGAGTGACAATAACTTTTCTGCTCAGCATTTCACGCTGCTCTGCTTCCTTATTGAGGAACATAGAAAGCTGCCTTAATGGTTGCTCAAACTATATCTATCTGCCTGGCCCAGTGTACTGATTAGTACGGAGAAGGGCCTTTTCCAGCACCCACTTACAGTATCCTTTTCTTACACGTGAGCTCCTGTGGGTTGAACATGAGGCCAGCTGTTTACTCCACCACTGGAATCACCAAGGCTGGCAGCTGTTAGGTGTGGAGCGTTAAGCATGATAAGTTGTCTGGGCCATCCCTCCACCCACCCCAGCATGTCAATGCTATTCACACAAAGTGACGTGACCTGGTTTAAATGAGACATAGGACACCTGGAACACACCACACAGTTATATTTTCCTTATACACCTCCCCTTATGTTTAAATGAGGCTTCCCCCCTTCGCAGCACTCTGTTTCGTTATGCTTAAGCATAATGGCTTCTCTCTCTATTCCTCCATCTCGTTTGGTCTGGCCCCCAATCGACACATCTCAGAGTTGGTTGCCCTGCAGGATTTTCTGACGCTTCTTGCTACCTCTGCACTAAAGGTGCCCCTCAGGCCACCGCAAGACATTCTGTCAGTCCTTTCCTCCTCCTCTTTATTCAAGGGAGAAAACGGGAGTGATGTTCAGATTCTGGGCGTTTCTCACCGGGGGCTCAGGCTGCTGAAGAGAGCAAAAGCAGCCAGCTTCAATGCTGAGCAGCTGAAAACCCTTTGCAGCTACAGGTAAGAGGCAATAAAATCCAGCTTTAAGGAGATGGTGGTGGGTTCTGGGTTCATGAGGCTGCTGAGAAGCTGCAAGAAGTTGACCCAAAGCTGATCACTTTGTGGACGAATGCGTAATCTAGAATAATTGAAAATATGAAACATGACTTGGTTCAGTTGCTTGATTCATCTGGAGCTATTAACTCTGCAAACACCGATCATGGCACACTGTGGTCTGTATTGGATGAATGGGTTTGTGTGGGAGTCATGGTGGGATGATCTAAGCAAGGGAATGGGACAGGATGGCCTTTCCCTCTTCTTTTCCTGTTCTTTGCATCTTCTCTCCTTGCCCATGTCTTGGCACCTTTTCTGCTTGCTATTATATGTGCACCAACCTCAGATTTCTTTCGAGCGGCATCAAGGCAAGGAAGGTCCCAGGGGCCTTAGTGAGGTGCAGCCGCTGAACTTAGCCAGGTATAAAGGCCAGCTATATTCTCTGGGTTTTTTCAGTTATTCAGATGTGCTGTCCTTAGAGCTGATGGACCGCAATACCCTTCAGTTCTCTCTGAAGGATGAGCAGCTCATCCTTCACTCTCGAAAGGCTCGGCAGATTAAGACCATGGTGGAGCTCTTCCTGCTTGAACTGAAAAAGGTGAGAGAAAGCGCCTTTGAAACACCTTTACTCTTTGCTTAAGAAAAGTACAGGACTCACTGCCACCACCTCCAGAATAACCACACCTCCTTAATTGTGCTATTCCTTTCTTTCTCCGCTCCTCCCCACCAAAAGGACTCCAACTACGTCATAGCTTTGCGCAGCTATGTAACAGATGACAAGAGCCTCTTGAGCTTCAAGAAAGGCGACTTCATCCAACTGCTGCGCATGGAGGGACTGGAGCCAGGTGAGAGGGTCTTGCCGTGAAAGACCACGTTATTGTTCAAAGGTTCCTTCCACATTTCCAGGTCCTTAGCAACCTGCATTCCTGCTACAGACATAGTACTTGGTCAGTTAAAACATCCCAATACAAATGATTTGAGCAGGGAGTGCACTGCACTTAACCAGCTGCTCAATCTTGCTCTTAAGGATCAAGCTCCAAGGAATCCTGGCCTTCCCATTTGCAGCCAGAGTGAGCTGTGCACAGCATGGATTGGCTAATCCCTGTGATACCATCTCCATTCTGCTTCAAAGAAGTTTTTCATAAAATTACCGTAGGTTTGGTTGTTTTCAAAAGGAGGTTAGAAGCCAGCACTCACTTGAATGACTCTGCAGTGCTGGGCTTAAAAAAACCTAAAACCTCCCCCAAAAGGCAGACAGTCCTTTAAATTTTTTCCCCTGAAAGCGCCAGACAGTGGAGGTGGTGGGTGGAGAAAACAAGACAACTGATTGAATCCAGAGTATTGATTGTAAAAAACAGAAGAAAGGAAAAGGAAGCCAGAATTGTCCTGCTGATACAAAATTCAATTACTGGGTGCTTTTATTTTATTTTTGTTCATCTGTGTGCATCCATTCATAACAATATATTAAACATATGTGTGAAGTGCAGGGGTTCATAAGAAAATACAGGCTCGGAAGCAACTTAGCTAGAAGCTGGGTATAGAAAGGGAAGCTTCATAAGCAGCCCCGTCCCCAAATGTCCAGATGTGAATTTCAGCCTCTTTTCCCCACAGGCTGGCAGTTTGGCTCCGTCGGAGGTCGCTCTGGCCTTTTCCCTTCCAGCATGGTGCAGCCGGTGGCAGCTCCCACTTACCACAGTTTCCATCCAAACCGTACAAACCGCCAGGAAGCCGTCAGGAAGAGCCTAAGGAGAGAAACACAGCTGGAGAGAAACATTAGCAAGGAGGTGAGGCAGGCTGTGAGGAGGAGGTGGAGGCGTTGTCGACAAATGATTCTACATTTTCTCTCATGGGTGGGGGAAAATACTCTGACAGGGAGTAGGGCCTGTGGATTTGAGAGGTCTGTGAGGAAATACAGAGCTCCAAAAGAGTTCTGCAGTGGGAGAGAAAGGGCATATTTTTTTTGCTATTGGAAGCATATGTAGACTGCTGTTAATTATAATTATTTGCTTATAAAAATATTTATTTATGATTTGCTTAGTTATAAAATAATTACTTATGTACTGCTATTCATTTTTTAAAAAATCAGAGCAGTTTTTCCAACAGTTATACATAAAACCTGAAGTGACGTTTATATGAAGGTTTTCTCTTCCTGCCCCATCAGAACTTGACCTCCAGCCTGGAGTCAGAAGTCAATAGTACAACAGCCAGCACTCCTCCTTGCAACTATACTATGACGGAGTTTGCCGCAACACACTTCCAGGAAGCCCAGACCGCGTGAGTAATATGTACCAGAGGTCCTTAATTATTGTGGGTGCTTCCAGATTGGTATTTGTTATGGAATGGTTGCTCCTCATGTCTGCAGCTTTTTCACAGTAGCTATACAACATGGTTGGCATTAAAACACTAACCAGTATTTCCCATCCCATTTAATTTTATTTTTTTTAAAGATGGGATTGAAATATTTTAAACGAATAGCACTCTGCTGACCTCCCCTCTCTCTTTTTCCTTTATACAAGAGGTAGGGAACCTTCTTTCCTGCAAAGGACCTTTGACCAATGGGAAAAGTCAACTGGAGGTCGCAGCCAATAGCAGGCAGGGCTAAAGGCAATGGTGGGTGGGCTCCCAGCTTAAAGTGGGTGGGAAGAGGGCCAAAATTGAGTAGAATTTGCAGCAAGACTGCAAGATGACTCTTTCTTTCAATCTGCCACTCCGCCTCTGAGGGCTGCCTGACATTAGGCTGCAGACCACAGGCTCCTTACCCCTCCAGCTTTATGCAATATTTTTTGTCCCACTTCCACATAGGAAGTTATATGCAAAAGGGTTTCCATGGAGGGCATGTCCTTTGGCAAGATCTTTGCCCCCACCCACCCCAAATTTATTTGGGCTCAGATATTCTTCCTCTCCCCTCCTGCCAACCTTCTCTGTACCCACTTATTTTAGCTTACTAATATTTCAGAATATGTAGGCATGTGGAACGGTTTGAGTTTGCAGTATAGTAAGCACATAACTTATGCAGGGGTTACACTCCAGGGATTGCTCCTAAAGACAAAATCATAGAATTGTAGAGTTTTTTTGCCCCCACCCTGAGATTAAGAGTCTCATGCTCCTATACCTGGTGGTATAGGCCGGAATACAAATGTAATAAATAATAAAATAATAATAATGCTCTGCCGACTGAGCTATCCTAGGAGCAATTGTGTAAAGTCAAAAGCACCACCTGCAATGGCAGGTGGGATTGCCAAAGTCTTCCCCCCCTAGACTTCTGCCTCCTTTAAAACTAATTTTAAAAGAGTTTTTCAAGCACGTAAAGCTGAATTCACACATTAAACACGCGTAAGTTGCGTGGTTACTGTATTGCCCTAGGGCCTTTGAAACAAGAAATGTACTGTTTCTAGTGATAGCACACACACACAAGTGGAAAAACATTGATAAGAGTAGGAGACTCACTGGAAAAAAGAAACTTCAAAGGTAAGAATACTTCTAGAACCTTCTTTTTCACGCAGATAACCCGAAGAAAGCTGAGCCTGCTCCTCTCCCTCTATATCATTACATGCTTTTTAAACCAACTTCGTATCAAATTGGCAGCCGAACATTCACTTGTGTCTCTGGAGATATCCATGGAACAGCTACCATATCAGCAGTGAATATTATAACAGCTATAAATAATATCCTCTGAACATCCCTTCTGTATGAGAGCCACTCTTACATTTGGGTTTGGGAGCTGGACTACTTGGACAAGAGTTTGGAAGATAATGACTGCATTGCCCATTTGAGAATTCATTTGCTACGCTGTCAAAATGAACAGAAAGAAGCTCCCATATGATGCTTTTCAGCTGATGGTATATAACCTCTCAACTCCCGTGAATACTTCCAAACTCTAACAAACACTTTTGGAAAGAATGTGGACAAATGGGCACCTACTTCCACCTTTGGTGGGAATGCCTTCCTTCAATACACTGATTTTTGAATTTTTGCCAGAACAGTTGCTCTCCAGGCCACGTGGGGCCTCCAAAGCAATGCTAATGAATTGTTTTGAACACAGTCATTCTGGCTGTTTGGATAAAGACTTCCATAAACAACCACATGACAACAAAATGGTGACTAGTGAGGAAGTGGAACCATGTCAGCAATAGGGTCGCCATCCATCCAGATTTTCCCGGACATATCCAGAATACTGCAGTCGGCAGCAGTGTCCATGCAGAAATCGGGAAGAAAAAATCTGGGGAAATCCAGACTTATGGCAGCGTATGCTATTTTTGCCTGTTTCCCCACAAAAATAGCTTGAAAGCCCTAGTCAGCAACCTTCCCAGAAAAGTATATTGATAAGGCTATATGCTAAATTATCCATCTATTACTTCAGGTAGCAAGGAATCTCACTCAAAAGAAAAGTGCTATGACCCCATGGTTTCGTTTACGTTTCCTTTGCTGAGTCCATACTAGGCCGTGAGCACAATCCCTTAAAATACTGATGTGTATATTTAATTTGATGCATTCCATAGAATTTATCATGCCACATCTTACTAGAATTCTCAACAAAATCCCAGGAATCGTGCAAATTCCTTCCTATTCAGTTTCTATTTCTTCGCTCCATTTTGTTCACTGAAATCCCTCTTGATGTGCTGTAATGAGGTGCTGAATTTTTTTTGTGAGTTCAGTAAACCTAAATAAAATATAGTTTAAATTATTTTTCTTGGAATATAATCAAATTTTACAGATAGCATTTGATCTGCCTTTTGTATATTTCCACACACATGTCAATAAAATGATGTTTTAAAATTCTTCTAACTTTTCTAACTGTCCTGCATTTGTGTTACTATGATGAGGTGGTACCAAGATCTAAAGGAGTTGTGCTAAGATAGCATTACATTTTCTGATGACAAAATTTCCCTGGGTGGGACCTGTCTGACATTTTCTTTCATACCACTTCAAAGGAAAGTATGGGCATCATGGGATATTAAGAGGGGAGAAGTTCATCCACATGACTTGACATGTACCTCAAGTGTTGCCCAGACCAAGAGGAAAGGATTTGGAGTTACTTTGGAATTCCCCACTTCCAGGGCTGACGTTGATTAATTGATATGCATCTAAGTTATGCAACATCTACCCTCTTCCTAGAAAGGCCTCTCTTTTCTCTTCATGCCATCCGTTTATTATTGTAGACTGGGGAACTGTGAAGTTTCCACCACAGCAAACAAAGAACCTTCAACTCACTCTTGTTGTTTTTTATCGTTGTTTCCCAGACCGCTGGTAGTCCATGGACTGCAGCTTATGAATCACTGCTGGAAACAGATAAAGCTGCTTTATACCATTTCAGGCTCTGTCCTTCTAACAAAAGACTGTCAATGCCTGGAGCAGAGAACCTCAGGCCTTGTGAGGGGGCAAGTGAGTGACCCTCCAGGACCAATTCTCAAGGCTCTCCCTAGGCCTCTGTTTCACATCCCAAGTGTCTTTGCCTGGCTGAAATGTGTCGTTGAACTCAGAAAAATTGGATGAAGGAATCAGAGGGCTGTGTGTGTGTGTGTGTGTGTGTGTGTGTGTGGAACCTAGCCTGCTGTAAAATGGTAAAATCTCCATTCATTGCTCCACCCAATTTGCCTTCGGCCTCATCTACTAATGGCATGTGTTGTGGCCCTTGGAAAGTTGCCCAAAGGGGAATATGGCCCTCAGGCTGAAAAGGGTTCGCCACTTCTATATTCACCTGTTCCAGATCTCCAGGGTCACCTGATACCAAATAAATCTAGGAGATGCCAGGGATAGATCCTGCAACCTGGGTTTGCATGTGCTTTGCCACTGAGCTACGACTGCAAAGCAGCTGGAGAGTAGGGCATATGTCAGACCAGATTCTTGAATGTTTTTTTCTCCTGGGTAATACCCTAATCTTCTGTCTCTGCTAGGCTGGGATGGAAGGGGATGAGTGCTGAACAGAAGGACCCAGCTCTCATGGTTCAGCATACTAAGGTAAATCAGAGGGAGAGGGGAGTCATCTCTGGGTAGTTCCTTTATCACTTGGAATGTGGATAGTTGAAAGATGCCTGATAGACGGGCAGCTTGCCTTTTGGAAGTCAGTGCTGAAGTATCTGATGGTGCTTGTTAGATGGGTCACCAGGCAGAGGGCCTTCTCGGTAGTGGCGCTGGCCCTGTGGAATGCCCTCCCATCAGAGATCAAGGAAATACACAACTATCTGACTTTTAGAAGACATCTGAAGGCAGCCCTGTTTAGGGAAGTTTTTTGTGTTTGATGTTTTACCGTGTTTTTAACATTCTGTTGGGAGCCACCCAGAGTGGCTTGGGATACCCAGCCAGATGGGCGGGATAGAAATAATAAATTATTATTAAGGGTGTGCACACTTCTACTAGACCCACTTGAACTTTGCGCTGAGGGTATCAGCTGCCTTCTTGGGCTTTGCCTCTTCTTGATTGCTTGTATTCTGACCTCACAGGAACCAATCAAAGAATCACTCCTGTTCTACTCTGATGGGAAGATGAATGGCCTGGCTACGAAAAATTTTCTGAGTAGGTGGTTTTTCCTTGTGCTAGGCAATGGGGGAGGTGGCAGTGGCTGTGTTTCCAGAGCTCTGGGATAGGTCTCATTTATGCAGTTCTGGCACCAGGGGAATGGCCTGAGAGCATTTCTGCTTCTCCCCTAATGGGAGAAACCATTATCCAGACATTTGACTTTCCCCTTGGTTTGTCAGTATTGGCAGAAACGGAGGCTACAATTTTCTTAATTTCACTATTCCCAGTGCCTTTGTTTTCCTTTTCCAGTTCTGAAGTAGGAGCAGAGGTTAATGCTAGGTCCTGTTTTGCAGCTCTGATGAGATTCATGGGAGACCAGCCAGGCCTCAAGAGCAAAGATGAGGTTGATTATGTCTATGAAATCCTCCAGGTTTGTGGCTCTTTTTGTGATGGGCTTGCGTGGGTGATGGCGACCAGAATGGGCTAATGTTTGGGGAAGGGAAGATCACAATCTCTCCTAAGTGATGCTCAACTCCTATAAGGATGGGAAGTAAATAATCGATCGATTTTTTAAATGAGATTTTTATCCTGCCTTTCTGCTTCAAACAGGGAGACCCACGGAGGCCCCTACATCATTAATTTTTTTAAAAACCCCTCAGAGATAAAGCAATTTAAAATACACAATATGGGAAGCCGAAACAGAACAGCATCAGGGAGCAAAGTAAAAAGTAAATAAAATAAGCTAATCAGGAAAGTGCCATTGCAGTCAAGTCTTGCTTATGGGTTTCACACAGGCATTTGGTTGAGCACTGAGAGAACAGGATGCTGGAATAGATAGGCCATTGGCCTGATCCAGCAAGCGATTTTTAATTCTTATGTCTGGCCAAATACCTGCTGATGAAAGGGAAGGAAAAGCTGGAAGATACCAAATGCAGGTGAGTGTTGGAGGGACCGTTTAGATCAGGGGTCAGCAAACTTTTTCAGCAGGGGGCTGGTCCACTGTCCCTCAGATCTTGTGGGGGGCCAGACTATATTTTGAAAAACATTATGAATTCCTATGCCCCACAAATAACCCAGAGATGCATTTTAAATAAAAGGACACATTCTACTCATGTAAAAACACGCTGATTCCCAGACCGCGGGTCAGATTTAGAAGGCGATTGGGCTGGATCCAGCCCCCGGGCCTTAGTTTGCCTACCCACGTTTTAGATGCACAAACGTGCTTATTGAGCCAAATTACAGTGGTGCCTCGCAAGACGAAATTAATCCGTTCCGCGAGTCTCTTCGTCTTGCGTTTTTTTCATCTTGCGAAGCATGGCTATTAGCGGCTATTAGCGGCTATTAACGGCTTAGCAGCTTAGCTGCTTAGCGGCTATTAACGGCTTAGCGGCTTTAAGAAAAAGGAAACAAACTCGCAAGAACTTGCAAGACGTTTCGTCTTGCGAAGCAAGCCCATAGGGAAATTCGTCTTGCGGAACGACTCAAAAACCGGAAAACTCTTTCGTCTAGCGAGTTTTTCGTCTTGCGAGGCATTCGTCTTGCGGGGCACCACTGTATTTTCAAATATTCTGGTTTCGGGGGTGCTATCTTAAGTACAACCCAATCAAATCTTTGGACTCCAAACTGCTGCAAAATTATTCTGGCCATCGTCATCTTAGACCAGTCAAGCTGGAGGCATCTCCTGGCACAGGGAGTTCCACATCCTTTGCACTGCATCAGAGAAGGCCCTTTCGTCCTGTGTTCCTACCAACCACAACTTCATGAGACACACAGAACAGCCTCCTTCACTGACCTCAGTGGATGGGCGGGATTGCCTGGGAGGAGTTGGGTAATATTAGCAACCCACTGATGGCTGCCTTGGGGGAAGAGGTGCCAAGTAGGGGTCAGCTTGAGAAAGACAGGCCCTCATTAACCACCACCCCCCTCTGTTGACCCCTGCATTGCCCAATCCCATGCAAGATGATAAGTCAGGAAGCAGTGCGGAGGTCTTTCTACTCTATGTAAGTGAAGGAGGTTCCGAAATGTATCTGCTTTTCCTCTTATGCTTCCCTGCCTTGTACAGCTTTGCAAAGAGAAGGAGAATCTGTGTGACGAGGTTTACTGCCAGGTCATCAAGCAGATCACGCGGAACCCCAGTCAGTAAGTACCTCTGCATGTGTGTCTGTGGGCGGTGGGAGCTCTGAAATTGAAGGAATAGGGGAACATGGGTGGGGATAATTGGGATGTCAGTGTGAAGTGTTGAGTAAGGGAGCCTCTTGTTAGAATAGAGGAGATGTAGGTGTTAATTTGAGTGAAAATTTCATCATTAGAAAATCAAGATCTTTTGGTGGGTTGGTGGGAGTGAACCCTAATGATGCATTTTTTTACATTGATTTAACTGGCTGTTGGCTTCAATCTGTTTAATTTTTTGCCAAATTGGAATGGTGGAAGAAAAGCAGAGATCTGAGTAATGGATTACTGATGAGCCGCAGCGCTGAGGCTCTGGGCATGAACTGGGTGTTGGATTTTAAAGGAGTTGTTTATGTATATTGGAATCCTCACCATGCCTTTCTTCAAAGAACCTCAATTTGGGGTCCTTGGGCGTCCCCCCCTCCACTTTATCCTTACAACAGCCATGTGTAGTTAGTCAGTATGAGATATAGGGACTGGCCCAGGGTCTAAGCACCATAGCCTAGCTACTACAGCACACTAGCTTCAAAAAGTAACAATAATGAAAATGTTCTAAACCAGAAGTGCAGGGAGTCCCTTCCAAATATTATCTGGTTTCTATACCTGTAGCAATACACTTGCAGAACTCCAGCTCTCATCAGCGTAAGTCAGGCATGTCCTAAGTCTGTTTCGGGGGCCTAATATGGCCTGCCGGTTGGTTTAATCCGGTCCCTGCAGCAGTTTATTTCCTGGGGTAAAATCCTAAAAAAAGCTCAACAACTCTTTGGGGTTGGCCCTCACGGCCCTTCACTTCATCAAATGTGGCCCTCTTTGAAAAAAGTTTGGACATCACTGGCCTAAGTCAACATGACCAGCAACATCTGAAGAGCCCCCTTTTCATGGAAAAGTGTTGGTTTTCTCTGTAACCCTCTTTGGGCTTTTATTGAAAACAAGATCACAAATACTGAGGATTCTACAAATTCAGCACTAGCCTGCCAGGTTCCCAGACATTGCGGCCGCCCATTCAGCTGTACTACAGAAATGTCAGTGTTACGTAGCTCTCATTTATGGCTTGTTATAAAACAGGACTGATCCCATTCATGTGAAGGGAGGAGTCAATGAGAGAGCAGTCTAGCCTCAGATATCAAGTTGGGACTATGGTATATCCTCCCGTCCCTCTGCTGTCTTCCTCGCTGTCAATCATGGACTGTATGTTCATCTTCTGAGGACTGTAGCTGTGGGCTTGAATAAAGGGAATTGTAATGTTGAAGTCAGGGCTTAAACATATTTATTTATTAAACTGCAATGGGCAGCATCAGTAGACCTCAGGGTGGTTCACAAGTAAAAAACAACATACACACTCAAAACAAAACAATAACCTCCCCATGTGTTGATACAGTGGCTTTTGTGCCTTCCATCTGCCAGCCTCACTGCTGTGAGGCTGTAATTGCCCCTTAGGATCTTTGTATTGAATCATAGCCTTTGAAAGTCAAGGACCTTAAAGTGAACTCTGTGCTGTAAACACCTGCGACTTCTTTGGAGCAGCTGCAGGGCTCATCTACTTCAGGCTCTTTGCTCTTCCTCAGGGAAGATGCATGTCTTATGAACTAAGCAGGTACATGGAGTACCTTAAAGGTAAAGGGACCCCTGATCATTAGGTCCAGTCGTGACTGACTCTGCAGCACTTATCTTGCTTTGTTGGCCGAGGGAGCCGGCGTACAGCTTCCGGGTCATGTGGCCAGCATGACTAAGCCGCTTCTGGCGAACCAGAGCAGCACACGGAAACGCCGTTTACCTTCCCGCCGGAGCGGTAACTATTTATCTACTTGCACTTTGACGTGCTTTCAAACTGCTAGGTTGGCAGGAGCAGGGACTGAGCAACGGGAGTTCACCCCGTCACGGGGATTCGAACTGCCGACCTTCTGATCGGCAAGTCCCAGGCTCTGGTTTAACCCACAGCGCCATCCGCGTCCCATATGGAGTACCTTAGACCAGTGTTTCCCAACCTTGGGCCTCCAGCTGTTTTTGGACTACAACTCCCATCATCCCTAGCTAGCAAGACCAGTGGTCAGGGATGATGGGAATTGTAGTCCAAAAACAGCTGGAGGCCCAAGGTTGGGAAACACTGCCTTAGACACACATAATCCCCCCCTCACTCCTTGGAGCTTCTCATTTCCCCATCTTTCCCTTCCAACTTTTCTCTTTTCTCTCCCCCTCAGTCTTCCTTTCTTCGTGGATCCCTTTCAGCCAACCAGAAGTTGTCTTTTGTCTAATCCTGCCCTGTGCTCTGCCCAAGGGAACTATCTCCCATGTTTTTCTCTGTCCTGCAGAGAGAGCTGTCTCCGTGGCTGGAGGCTCCTGGGCCTCTTGACTGGATACTTCCTCCCTTCCAGCATTTTGATGCCATATGCCACCAAGTACCTGCAGCAGGCCAGCTCTGACCCCATTTCCAGCACAGGTATCGTCTGCCTCCCACCCTTGGGGCCATATGTGCTGGCTTCATTCAGCACCAAGGGAAGCGTGAGGGAGAGCAAAAAGCGGCTCTTACTTCACTCCTGGAGTGGTGGTCCTGGGAGGGATTTTGCTGACTTGAACTGAGGTCACACCACCTGCAGGATTCCATAATTCAACAAGATTCCATACATGTGGCTGTTGTCTACACAATGTCTCCTCAAGTTACGATAGCCAGGAACTCCAAACTCTGCTTCAGTAAATTATATGAGCAGTAGGCCCTAGCCTTTGAGGCTCGGCTGGTAGGGATATGAACATAAGAATAGTCTGTTGGATCAGGACAATGGACCATCTAGTGCTCATAGTGGCCAACCAGATGCCTGTGGAAACCAGGGAGCAGAATATGAGCACAAGAACTCTCTCTCCTCCCATGGTTTCCAGCAACTGGTATTCGGAAGCATTATTAAATCCAACTGTGGAGGCCTAGCATAGCCGCCATGACTGATAGCCCTCTCCTCCATGAATGTGTCTAATCCTCTTTTAAAGCCATCATCCTCAAGGTACTCAGCTGAAAATTGGGTGGGTAAGGGCTAGAGTAGGAGGCCATAACAACCATAATGGACTTGGAGATGACCATCCCAAGAGGTATGGAAAGAATCCATTGGCCTTCTTTGGTCTGTGATAAGTTAATGAGGCTGGCTGTGAAAGAAGTAACTCAAAGCTTTATTGAATTTAGCTGAGGGGTTTGGTGGGATCTTCCCAGTGCTGGGCACAGTATCACCGACTGCCTCACTCCCGTGTGGTTCTTTGGACTTCCCTTCATTGTCACAAGGCAAGAGATATCCTGAAGGGTTGTTGGGGCTCCAGTCTTCATACCAAATCGGGGGCTAAATTCAGAATCCCAACTGAGCAGAGTTCTCTAGCTTGTAGTAGTCGTAAGGCAACACTCGTAAGACTCGTGAGGTGACAAGCTCAGCCCTTTGCCCTTTCTCAACCACAGAAATAGCCAGGATTTGCCAGAGCAACCTGAGGAAAATGGTCATGTACGGAGGCCGTCGACACTTGCCGTTCCGTGTGGAGACTGAAGCGCTTCTGGTAACTGAGTGAAATATAGTTGCAGGAGGTCGGGTGTTGAAGGGGGTATTCTACCATTTGGGTTGCTAAGGCAAGTCCCTGAGACAGTAAATATTTGGGGCTAGGAGGTATGTTCCAGTACAGGAAGTGTGGAGTGGACTTTCCTTGATGCAGGGCTGTGCCTGGACATTTTGCTGCCTGGGGCAATGGACAAAATAGTACATACAGGCACACATTACACTTAAGAGGCAAACAGTTGAATCTTGTTTCCATACTGGCAATGGAACAGCATCCCCCACTACACTTGAGGGATGCAGGACAGTTTAAGGACAGGCTGTGTGGCACTTATAGCATGGTGCCCCTTGCTGTGTGAGGCAGTCGCCTCACTCTGGTTAATGGGAGGGCCGGCCCTTGCTTTATGTGCTGCATGAACGGGAACTCTGTGGATATATATGGGAAGGAGACAATATTCAGCAAGGGAGAAGAGGAGTCGATTGTATACTGGTTGAGATTGTTTGTGAGGCGTTACTAGCGTCTGACTGGGAGGTTGTGAGCCTACATGTGTGCTTATAAAGGGGAACTGAGTTTCCTTTGTGGATGGGATTTGTGAGGAGAGGTGTTAGCGATAGCAATGGATGTTCTGAGGAACAGATGATGATCTTGGGATGATGGATGTGGCTGAATCAGGATTTGAGAGAGATAAGAGCTGCCAATAGGAAATGCAAAAGGAATCTTCCCCATCCAGCTATGCTGCTCTCCTGGAAATCACAATGCGTTTGATCCATGCTGAAAACCCAGAGCATGCTTAAGTAATGCAAATATCTTCATTCATCCAAGCTATGTTCTTTAAGATATGAAAACCCCAAAGGTCACAATCAGGTTAGGTTTTTAAGCCCTATTCATTTCACTGTGAGAGGCAAGCAGATGCTGGAATCTGTAATGGAAAGCCCCAGTAGGGTTTCATAGTGATTAAATTTGCCTGGATCCTGCTCTCGGGGAAGGGGACAAAGATGTCTGTACTGGATTCTCTCAAACCCTGAGTCCTTTCCCATTGGTAGAAGGGACGTGGCTCACGTCATATATCGGTCAACCTACCTGGAGGTGAGAGATACAACACGAAAATCAAGACATTCACGGTAAGTCCCTCTTTGGCGTGTTCATCAGTGTGTTATGGGGTGGGGGGCTTGTGGGGTCAGTGCTGGCAATGTCCATTTTTGGGTGGATGAGACTGACTTGAAATATTGAAATATGATTGAAATATTTATGTATTTTGATTTTCATCTCTCCTTACCAATATGACTCAGAGTAGGTGACCCCATCTTTTAAAATGCTATTTAGACACAGAGATCAAGAGAGCCAGTTCTGCACCTTCTGCCATTGAAACAGCCTCTTTCTATTGCAGGGGCCTGTGGTCAGTCTCATCACCCATCTGAGCCAGGGCTATTATGCTTGTGCTATTATTTTCTCTTATTTCCAGGGGTGGGGTGGGGGCATAGTTAGAGCAGCTGCACTGCACACAGAGAGTCCCAGTCTCCAGATTCATTCCGTCACCTCCAGTTAAAAAAGATTAAGGTAAAGGTAAAGGGACCCCTGACCATTAGGTCCAGTCGTGGCCGACTCTGGGGTTGCAGTGCTCATCTTGCTTTATTGGCCAAGGGAGCCGGCGTACAGCTTCCAGGTCATGTGGCCAGCATGACTAATCCGCTTCTGGCGAACCAGAGCAGCACACGGAAATGCCGTTTACCTTCCCTCCAGAGCGGTACCTATTTATCTACTTGCACTTTGACGTGCTTTCAAACTGCTAGGTTGGCAGGAGCAGGGACCGAGCAACAGGAGCTCACCCCGTCACGGGGATTCGAACCACTAACCTGATCGGCAAGTCCTAGGCTGTGGTTTAACCCACAGCGCCACCTGCGTCCCTTTAAAAAAGATTAGGTAGCTGGAAATGTGGATGACCTCTGCCTGGAGAGCCACTGCCAGTCATGGAAGATACGTCCTGGACTAGTTGGAGAAGAAGTCTGTCTTGGTCAAAGGCAGCTTCCTGTATTCTTCGTCTCATGAACTCAATGACTTCCAAGGGAATCATTAGGTCTTGCGTCTGTACACTATGATTTAGCCATTTCCCTTCCCAAGGAAATGGAGTTGTGGGCTGGACACGAGCTGGCCCTGTGCGCAGGGGTGTGGCTAGCCCCCACATCATAGGGAGTCCCCTCCATGTCATGCCCCCAGGCCAACCAATCTGGGGCGTGCTTTAGGAGTTGGTTGCAGGTGTGAGGATGGGGTTGCGGTTAGGCATTGGAGTATTAGATTGGAGGGGAGGGGAGGTAGAGGCCATCATCTACTCTTCCTATTTCAAGGGTATTCCATTAAAGGAATCTGGGGAGGCGTGATCCTGTCCGAAGCCCAGGCGGAGGCTAGGGCTATGGCACGACCCCTATCGGTAACCCTGGGGGAGCTCAAGTTGGTTTGCATCAACAGGGCTCTCCCTACCGGTGGTTAACCCTTCTGAGACTTCCTGCAGGCGGGCAGGAGTCAGGTATAGTCAGTTCGGTTCCAATGCCTATGCCAACACCACTCACATTCTGTAACCAATAAAGGTGTGGCCTTTTTTAGCCCATTAACCTAAAATACTGGTGTCAAGTGTCTTTATTCCAACGAAGGGGAGGGTTCGGGGCCTTGCCATGCAACCCCCATTCTTTCCAGCAGTCCTCATGTCCTCCCAGAGGCTGCTTGCAAAGTATCTCTGAATTTGGAAGAAGGGTGCTGCCAGAGGTGACAGAGTGTGCATAGAGCTCAGCATGCATCAGTTCGCCACTGGGCCCTGTGATGAGCAGACTGAGCATCTCCCTCTTTCCTCCCTTCTTTCCCACTGATGTGAATCCAAGAGGAGCCATATCATCTTTCAGAAGCTGGCCTGATTTGCAGCTCACCTGTCCCTTCCCAAACTTACTGTTTTCTGTTTGTGGCTGAACGCATCACAATGGAATTAAAACTACAGTGGTACCTCGGGTTACATACGCTTCAGGTTACAGACTCCGCTAACCCAGAAATAGTGCTTCAGGTTAAGAACTTTGCTTCAGGATGAGAACAGAAATTGTGCTCTGGTGGCGCGGCAGCAGTGGGAGGCCCCATTAGCTAAAGTGGTGCTTCAGGTTAAGAACAGTTTCAGGTTAAGAACGGACCTCCGGAACGAATTAAGTACTTAACCCGAGGTACCACTGTACTGTACTATAAAATCTCACTAGCCCCCCTCCCTCCCACCACTAAATGAGAGGGGCTGGAACTTATGCCAGCACAGGTCTTTCCCTTGTGTTTGGAAGCCCTTCCAGTTGCTTACAAATGGCTAGGATGCTACTTTTAGACAGCCAGTACCAGGGTAAGGGCTAAAAGTATTCCTTTCCCATTTTGGTTGTAGGTTGCTGCAGACATCATGAAAGAAATCACTGAGCAGATGGGGGTCACTGAGCCAGAAGAGATTCAGGAATTTGCCATCCTGGCCAATAAAGATAAAGGTAAGGTGCCCCCATAGCAGTGGCGAATGGTCAGCTGCAGGATACTTAGTTATATGATGAAATGTGCTAAAGATGACTGCCCAACAGCAGGAGCAGGGTAGATGAGTAAATGGCAACCGAATCAAGACAAGATGGGGTACCCTTCATTTTTGGAGGGGGAAAAGTGCGTCCTATAGGGCGAAAAATATGGTAGTTTGTTGACTAGCATGACCTGGGTGGACTCGCATCCCTCCTAAGACCAGCAAGTGCCCACCAGCCCAGGAATGCCAGTATGCAGAGAGAGAGGCAGTGTGAATCACTTCTCAGACTGCATACCTGGCCCAAGGTAAGGGGTGGCCTACTGAGGCTGTATTGATGGAGGGCTTCCAAAATCCTTCATGTGATGGCACCACTAAATGAGAGTGAATTTAGATCTTTTATTTTCATCTTAAAAACACCACCACCAAAACCTTCAAGGTTCTAATGGGGACAGATAGAGACATAGGTGCAGATTGTATGAATGAGATGTAGTAGCCGTTGTTGACCAGTCCGTTTCACATGAAATCGCCTTGTGCAGGAATGTGCAACACGGTACTGTTAGGGCTAAATCCTGGGGAATAAGGTGCCTTTGATTTGATGGGGGAGAGGATGACTTGAAGCGCCACATCCTGCTCTCTCTGCTTTACTTTGAAGTGGGGGTGATGTTCAGGTGAGCAGGGTTGTGTCTCTTGTTTTGCCATGCAGGTAAGATTGCACGTCCCTTGCGCCAGACTGAGTACATCCATGATTATTTGCTTGAGGGAAGTTCGGTAGAGCTGGAGTTCTGCAGGATCACCTGGAGGACACCCTTGCACTTTGAGAATGACATGTATATTAACCTTCACTTCAACCAGGTAAGCTTAAGGAGAGGCTCCTTTCTTCCTTCTGTGCGTTTTAAATTACAGTTGTAAATCTTTTAGTGGTAATGTTATCTTTTTTTTGTAAACCGCTTTGAGTTTTTTCTGCAATCTGTAAAATTTATGTAAAATTCTGTAAATTTTATAAACAAATACATAGTTACAGGATTTCAATGGCAAACAAAGCTGCATGTCTGCCCAAAATTTTTTGAAGGCACAAACAGTGCTGAAATCAGAACTGCAGATGACCGTTCCAATGCCATTATGAGCAGAAATCACAATGAATGCACAATAAAAAGGATGTCTGAAGGAACCCTTTGCAAAAGGCTGGGGATTCCGCTGAAGATGCCGCACACATTGCCTGTGAGCGTATGGTGACATCTTGTTCCCATTAGGCTAAATTTGCTGTGACCTAGCTTGATGTTTGGGACACTTTCAGGGCATCAGCTGCCAGAATTTGCTGAATATCTAGAGATAGGTAGCCATTAATAGGACTGTGTTGTTCAACCAGCAAAATGCTTCCCTGCTGGTTCCTGCTCAAGGGATTGTAGGCAAAGAGTGAAGTACGATGCAATGCTCTCTTTGTTAGGAGCGTCCTACTCTTGTGTAGGAACCTGGTAGAGACACATGCCTGACTGGCATGCTCTCTCTCTCCTGGTCGGTCATTCGAGAGCTTCAAAAGCTTTCTTTTGCCTGAACATCACAGCGACTGATACCAAAAGGCATTAGCACGCTTAGGGATCCGCAGCGTATTCGCAGTTTGTGTAACAGACCTCAGTAGCACAGCATTTTGGCTAATCTACGTTTATTTACATATAATACACTTGGAGCATTCTGACTTGGCTCCATGAGAACAAAGGACAATAGTCCCACTTCACAGAACACAGTAACACAAACATCCTGTCTCCGTCACTTCGCACACTGTGGAATGAAAACATACACCATCATGTGATAGACAACAATCCCATGACTGCAGACACGGGGAATGAATCTTCAACACTCTTGTGGGTTTTTCCTAGGTGCTGCAGAATTATATGAAAGGGAAGCTGCTGCTGCCACGCACCAGGGAGCTAGAGAAGCTGGTGTGTGCCTTGGCTCTGCTCCAGCACTGGGCCAAGGGAGCTGGATCAATCCCTTCCATGTAAGTCTCCTGTTCATAGCCTTGGGTGGTTTGTGTAGGCCAGAACCTGATGCTTGGCAGAGACATTTCCCTACTTGTGTCAAGAAGACTCATCTCAGGGAGGGTGAAGATGTATTCACAAAGTCCAACCATCCTTTAATATAGGCAAGATGAGGACCCTGGCCTGATCCTCATTATTCACACACACACACACACCCCCCGCAGTTCTTCTTGTCTTCCTCAGAGCATGTGACTGTCACACTACTAGTCCACACGCTCAGAAGAGCTACTTGACTCCTCCCTGCCATTTTGGGGGTTTAGCCAATGTTGTTTAGAGACAGAGCAGGTAAAATGTCTCTCATACTTGTTTGCTAATGGTAATTGTTCCAAGCAAAGAAAGTGGTAACAGGGCCAGTCCGCCCATTAGCCTCAGTGAGGTAATCGCTTCAGGCGGCTGGCTGGGGACAGCCTGAGGAATGTGCCGTTTACCACCCCTGTGCTTGTAGCTCGTGGCCATTGTCTGGGAAGAGTGGATCCACTATTGCCACCTGCTCCTCTCTAGCCTCCTTTCCCCCCGCCCTTCCAGTTGCCTCAGGCGGTGGAGGCAGGAAGGACAGTGGTGGCGGAGGGACACCATTCTCTGTTTTGCCTTAAGTGGCAAAATATCTTGGGCCGGCCCTGGTGATAAGGGGACTGGGTTCTGTCACAAACTATAGGTTGTGGATGATTCTGTACTCTTACCCACTTTTGCATGCTAAATTTCAGCCGCATTATGGTTTACTTCAGGGCTGGTGAACAAGTGGCCTCCCAGAAATTGAAGCTCCAGATCCCATCGGTCCCAGTCAGTATGGCCAGAGCTAAGGGGTGATAGGAATTTTAGACTAGCAATATCTGGATGGCTGCAGGTTCACCATTCTTGATTTACATGGTCCATGTACCCTGGGGGTGAGAGAAATGATGCAAGAGGTCCTGCTTACTAGTTTATTTCCTCTCACATCCTCTAATTAATCTACTGAACATTAAATGAAGGCACAATTCACACAATCTGAGTACAGAGGTACATTGGTTCTCAAATGTAATTTGTTCTAGAAGTCAGTTCGACTCCCGAAACAGTTTGAAAACCAAGGCGCGGCTTCCAATTGGCTGCAGGAACTTCCTGCACTCAAGCGGAAGCCGCGTTGGATGTTCAGCTTCCAGAAAATGTTTGAAAACTGGAACACTTCTGGGTTTTCGCTGTTTGGGAGCCGATTTCTTCGACAACTAAGCCGTTCGAGAACCAAGGTAAGCAGTTTTTTCTACTAAACCCAGCCCGAGGAGAAGAGGTAGTAGTATTCTTGAATTGTTGTTCAAATATTTCTTTCCATGGAGCACAGCTATGCATCCTAACCATACCTTTATTTTCTGATCACATAAATAGAGAGGAACTAGTAAGTTACATCCCTGATGATGTTGCACGCCTCATCAACCCAGTCATTGTTCAAAATTCTGTCACCTATCAGCTGAAAACCACGAAACAACTTGAGCGACAGGAGGCAAAAATCAGTTTCATTGGTAAGTTCAAGTGGGCAATACGGTTGGAGCTGGTATGATCTTATTCTGTAATCCCAAACTTTCTGCCAGTTTCCTGTTGCCACATGGTATTCCCCCCAAACATCAAGGCATGGAATATAGGAGCATACTGACATGTTTATTTTGCATTCTCCAAAGAACTCAAGGCAATTTACATGGGGTTATCTTATTTCATTCTTCAACCTAATTGTTATGAAGTATGTTACTGATTCCCACGTTACCCAGCGCTTGACTTTCAGTGAGATCTTCCCTGAGTCTGGTTTTTTTCTTTTATGTGCATGTAGATGACTTGAGCGAAAATGCATACATATTGCAAAACGTGCTTTCTATTAAGGGCAAGCATCTACAAATCATAGCGGTAACATGGATTGAGGCATTTATTTATAGTATGTCTTAGTGCCTGTGACTTTCTTTTCCTTTGGCGCAGCAAGATCACCTCTAGGTTCCTAGAGAAGGATGGTCACAGGTTGTTCCTAGTTCTCCTTTATTACTGTTCAAGTAATTCTAATGATATTTTTGTAAATCTGTGGATTATCACTCTTCTGGTCCCATCAATCGCCTTTTTTGAAACACACAATAGCCATTCTGATCAGGACACTGGTCTGTAGGGTAGCCAAAATGTGAGTGCAAAATGTTCATGTTTTTATGTAGCAGAACTCTTGGTGTCAGCAAAACCCAACAGAAGCATCTCTTATCTACAAAGAATGCCTAATCCTTCAAAAACATGATCACCATCTGCAGGATCCTTCCAGCTGAATGTAGAAATGTGGTCCCCGCTGTTCACACTTTGCAAACAGCCTTTTTTGCTGCACCAGCTACACTATAACTTCCAAACAATGAAAATAGGTGGCATCCAATGCACTCGTCCCATTAGATTTACCTTTGTGTAATGGTATTTTCGTCCCGTACCTTCCCCAGAAGAGATGGGGTGGGGTGGGAGCTAAATCCTATGCTAACAGAACAAGGGACTTGTGTTCTATATTGGATATAAGCCACTGTGTGTGACTGTAGAACTGTACTGCATTATCAATAATGTGACGAATCACTGCTTCTGTAGTTTTTGGATATGCCAGGGTAGTTGTGCCCTCTGGCTGTGGTAGCCTTGGGAATACCAGGCATGGCACAATAGTCTTGCCTTTTAGCCATATTCTTTTCAGGAGATGGGGCAACCCCACTGCTACTAGAAATAGTCGGATGGTTTGATGATTCTGTGGTTTGGCTTGGCCTGTGGGGTTTGACATCATGACCGCTTCCTTCTCTTGTCCCAGAGCACGTGATCCAGCTGCCGCTTTTTGGCTACAACGTTTACACTGTGGAGAAGATCAGTACACTTGGGATCCCCACGCCTTGCTTTGTAGGAGTGAATGAGGAACAGATCATTGTAGTGAATGGGAAGACCCAGGTATGGCTTTAGTAGAAATCCCTGGAGTATTTAGCAGCTTACTTTAGAGTAAGTAGCAAGTGCAGGGTGCCTAATCCAGATCAGGACCATGCTGGGGGCTTTAATCCTCACCCCCCCCGCCCCCCATCTGCTATCCTTACCTGGTTCAGGGAGGCATTAATGCATTAAGAGGAAAACTCACATTGGTTTCAACTATAAATCACAAGTGTGGTGGACCAACATGGGTTGGGGCCTCAAAATAAGGGAGCATAGCCCTTTGCTTCCTGGGTCTGCACACAAAAAAAGAAAATTCATACAGTTTTATCTAGTTTAACTTTTCTGAAATGTTCATCTGTTTCATAAACTTAACAGTAAGAACACTTTATGTATCTCATAACGTGGGCTCTGGTCCATGAAAGCTTCTTTAACTTCTTCAGCTTTCAAGATGTCACAATAATCCTCGTTTTTAAACAAATCAGCGAGTTTCCATGTGATTGGGCTGAATATAGTAATCAGCATGTAAATGTCATAGCTACCCACAGTGAGCGTTACCCAAGTGTGCTTTGGCAGGCTTCGTACAGAATCTGAATTAACCTTATTATTTCAATAGTACTTACAATAATTTCAATAAAGAATAATTGTGGAGAATGATGGAACAGAGTAATTTCCACCAAATTTTCAAGTTGTTCTTTTTTTTTACTATTCCTGCAGCTGCATTATGGAATATCATGAAATGGGTGTATAGAGTGATTTACATTTTGAGAAAAGAATGTCCCTGAAAAGGCAGTTTCAGGGGGAGGGAGACTCTGCTATGAATATTTGCTCAGTTCAGAGGACTCCTGTTGAATTAGGACTACTAAAAGGCAATTTGAAACATGCATTAAATTATGCAAAAGCTCGTGTGGACAAAATAACAGGAATTAACTTCTCATATGATTGGCTACTTATGAGAACAGGACGCTGCCATGAGATGAGTCACTGACCTGATTCAAAAGGTGTTCTTAATAGTCATGCGGTGCTTTTGATCCTCCACTGCAATATACATGTCCTAACAGCAGTTTCCCTCCCTTCACTCAGAACCTTCACAGCCTCATTCCACTGGCGACGATACAGAGGATGCGGACTTTGCGCCCCATGAATGAATCTGGGCTTCCTGGCCTGGAAATTAACTACGGCTCAGCAGCAGATCCCAAAACGATTTGGTTTGAATTGAAGCAGGTAATATCCCTGGTCGTCGCCTCTTAAGTTAAAAGATCCAGATGTAATTTTTAGCTTTGCACATTTTGGGCCGTAACCAAGTTTACAAAAACAGACATAGCACAGTTGGGAGATCCGAATCTTACTAGGGTTTAGCAGTATTCTACGGCCTTAAATTAGTCTTATTTCTGTTTTGTGGCATTCCCCTAGTGCAATACACCATAATAGAAGCCTGCTCTTTCTACAACCAGTCATTCAGGGCTCTTGGCAGAACTTATTTCTAGAGGTTAAAATCAAGTGAATTTCTAGCTACCCCAAGGCATGGATTGGTATGCTACAAAGAGGAATGTTCTGCTGCTAGAAAGCAACAACTCATGGGATTAAAGGCAGGAAGCCTGTTCTGCAGCATCCCTTTCATGCTGTATGCTTGGGGATAGGGTACATCTCTGGCCTGCAGGAAGAGCATAGTGAGGAGTCCTTTATTTGGAACTAAACCCACTGTTCCTGCACGTGGTTCCCTGGAGGTGCTACTGCCAACCTGTGTAGCTGAACCACAGGACAGCGTTGCTTTTGAAGCAGGAGAAAGACCGCCATATGGGAAAACAAGTTAACTACAAGGCTTTTGACTACTGGATTTTTTTGGTTTTTTAAAAAATACTGGCACAAGGAACACCAAGCTCTAGTAAACGAAGGCTCCATCTGGGTCTCACTTAAAATTATTTTTTTAGTTGGTGTGGGCTTCCTTTTGGAAAGTAGAGGTGCAAGCACAAAATGAAACGATTTCTCAAAATGAGGGGGAAGGAAGTAGAGATGGCAGATGAGGGACTTTTGTTTCATTGAAGTTTCTATCTTGACAGGCTAAAGCATTGTACCACACGACTGCCATCATCCTAGAAGAAACCGAATCTGAGGCTTAGTGAGTGGCAGAAATGTCTTTTTTTTGAACTCTGAAATCATAAAGCTTCATGCAAATTCTGTTCATCACAAGCATCTGAAGTAAGCACTGTTAACTTGGTTCTTGCTCTGCCTCCTAAGCCCAACCTCACTGCAGATTTTCCCTCTTTATTCAGATGCATTTTTTTAAAAAAACACACACGTTTAGCCTTTCAGTTACTAGAGAGCAAAACTGGCTCAACAGTTCTAGACATGCTTCTTATTACATGTAATGAAGCTCAAGGAAGGACACGGGTATTTACAGTTTGTTTTGCTCAAAGCAGATGCAGGTTTACCCAAAGCATTGCTGACTTTCACCGTTACTGGCGCTGACAAATTTACACTACCTAGATGTTCAGGTATTATTAAAGCACTGGCATTCTACCTTTACTGTCCTCAATGGCTGTCGTGACTCTCCTTGATGCTTGTTTAATTGTGGTTCATATATGTGCTCTGAGCAGCATCAGTACAAATATTCCTTATGCAAACTGGAGGGGGAGGGGCTTGATCAGCTGTGGGGGGGGGCAGGAAGCTTGCCTCTCAGCTGATCAACCCCCCTACCACTCTTTCTTACAAGAGTCAGAGCAGTATGGGGCTGGGTGATGTTATCTCAGCTGCTTCTTCCTCTCCCAAGGTGGGCAGGAAGATCCTTCCTTTGTATATGAGCTACTGCCCTGGCCCCTGTGTGTGATTTCCAGTGGTAAAAATAATGAGATTAAGCAGTGTAAGCTCTTTAACATTCATTTTATTAGCAGCTCACCATGAACCTTTTAAAGTAACAAACCCCTAGCTCCCAAGTGCAAGCTATTAAGAAGGGGGTCCCTCTGCCAGGCCCACCTTTGTCTAGGGAGTTTCCACTAAAGGAAAAGGTTAATGCTTCTCTAAGGCACAGAAGAAGAAAATACAATTGTAAAAAAACCATAATCCCAGCAGGGAATCTACAGTCTATGTCGAACTTGAACTATACATAAATAAAGCAGCATCTTCCTGCTAAAACCCCTGGGCAGTTTTGTCACAGTAGTCTGATAAGATGACATGAGAGGCACAATGCAGCAATATGGCTTTAAGTGAATACTTGCACAGCCCTCATACCAAAGACTCTGCTGTGCAGACCACCTGCCAGTCAACTGTGATATTTGGAAGGCTGGTTCTTTTAACATCCTGATGGACAATACAAAGTGGCTAATACAAATGGCTACATCTCATATTATAACCTGTAAAGTATTTTGCATATACACCTGAAAAACATAGTTCTGCACATGCAACACACTCATGTTTTCTGCAGGCGCAAATGTCCAGGACTCCTTACCGTGCATCAAACGCACCTGTCATCACAGAGCTTGTGAAGCAGCCCTAATGTGAACCTACCTGGAATCACATGTCAGTAATAAGCTGTTTGCAAAGGTCTCTGATTTCTTTAGACTTATTCCATATGCACAAAGAAAAATGCAATTATACATTGCAATGGCAACAACTTTCCTGAAATACGTATTAGGCCTTTTCATCAGAAGGAGGTGCTCCTGGATACAACTGTTTACTGCAAACACAAAACAGAATATAAACACTAGTAACCACCAAATAGAATTTGGCGGGGAGGGAAGGGTCGCCCCATGGCCTCTATTTATTCCTGAGGTTTCACAAAATATAAAACTCTTCAATTTATGTAAGCAAGGACATGCCCTCAAGCCTTGAAGAAGACTGTTCTCTCCTGAAAAATAAAATTATATTAGTGTCTGACTACATGTTACATGCATTTGTATGTAACACAACTCTGATGCCCATGGGGAGCATAGAAGTTGGCAAACATGTATTTCATAACCTCATGTGAGAGTGGAGTCATTTGGGATAACACAGCTGACAGGAACTGGCACCAATAACCTCCCCTGCCCTGCCTGGCGTTACAAAATCACCCGCTTCCCATAGCAGCTGCTCTCTGTTTAAAGAGGTAGCTTTCTGGATTTTATTATACTGTAGATTGATTTCATGCAACCTTTAGTTAGGCCCTAAATTTACTTTCTGACAGAGAGAGTTGTCCCTGGCAGCACTTCTCATTCTTATTGCAATATGCACAGTTTAAAAAATAATAACTCTAGTGCAAGGAGACACTTTTCAGCACAAACAACACAAATCAAAAGGGACCTGGGCAAAGCAGCTCTGCCAGACTCCCTCCCACTGTATCAAAACGAGAAAGCCTTCTTCAAAGCAAATGTATTCCATGACAACTCTGAGTGATGTTGCTGCTGCTAATTAAAAAAACATAGTAACGGACTGGGGGTTGAGGCGGGAAATCTTGGGTAGCAGCAAGATTCCTAGTCAGCAAAAGAATCAATTACAGTCTCGTGGTATGTCTAAAACAAGCAAAGTTGACTGTATCACAGGGCAGCCTTGTAACTTAAAATTGGTGACTCCATCTGCACAACAGACTTTACCTAGCTAGGATAACATCTCAAAGGCCTTTCCCCCAGGCCAGTGCTTAACTGGGTCCACCACCACCCCACTCCCATAGCTACGATGATTCCTTTAAGTGCTTGGGGTCCAGCAGCCACAGGAAGCAGAGAAAACCAGTGCCTTTCAGGTGTCATGTTTCCAAGCTGGTTAGCTCCTGCCAGTCTGTCTCATTTTCACACTTGTCACGGGTTTTGAAAAATTCCTTGATCAGTCTCTGTGCTTCTTCTTTTACTACAAACAGAAAGTAACACACAATACACTGATGCCCAACCTTGTTCACCACTGTTAACTATAGTATCATTTAGCTTTGTCTCCAAGCCATCTATGAAGAAAAGAATCTGCATAAACCTCCCTTCCCAATAACACACAAGCAAAATTAGGTTAGTTTGATACTACATCTCTCTCATGCACATTTGCACAAATGCTCTGAACCATGAAAATATTCCAGTGGCTGTTTACAGAATAGGGGACTCGGGGAGAATGAAATGATCTACCACCGAAACACCGAGGAGATGCTAAGGAATGAAAACTATGTGCTGACACCAGTCTTATAACATTCCACATACACCTTCCAATTCCTATACCTTAGATACACCACTTGCATATTTCAAATATTTTCTTCAATTACACATATTAGATTATTTTACCCTACCCCCCCCAGCCACCATACACAGCTGGCTGCCTGATCATTTTGTACTGGTGTTAGATCCAGTATCTACTGGTACAAGGCACTAGACATTCCTCCCCAGCCATCACCTGATAACTCACCTGTCTTACGGAGAGGACTCTTGTCTGCAGCCAGTAAGTGAGAGAGGTGCCGGGCAAACCCTTTAAACAAATCCTGCCAATTAGGGATGAAGAAACAGAATGAGCATAACAGGGTTCTCACCCTCACTGACATATGATTGCTTTTGTGTACTCTCTGGGACATCTTGGTACTCCTATAACGTTTCCCATATTCTAACGACTAGGTGCCGAGACCAACATGGTAGGACCTAGCATCTTCCAGTTGTGCAGCACCCAGGACATGTATCTGACCTAATGAACTAATCACTTAGAAATAGAAAAACACCAATGTCTTGTATAAGTGAAACTTGTTGATCTGCAAGAAGTTCCTAAGGAACAAAGTCACAATGTAAGTATTTAAGCTCTCATTACCATCACACACGATTTAAAAACAAACACAGAATAAGAGTGCTGTTGTCCCACCAGTATTTTTTTCTGATATTGTCTATCTAGCTCACTGAACATTGGCTATAGGAAAGGGTAATATACCCTGCTCTTTCCAGACATGGTTTACCCTCACCCTAAAAGGGACCCAAGACACTGGCCAATACAGTGGAAATGGTCTCTCCATGCTGCCAGTTAGATAGGACAGACAACACTACTAGGCACCCCTTCAAGAGGAGGAAAAAGCAACATGGCTCATAACCAACCTTGGAAGCAAATTTGCCACCTTTGTAAAAAGGGGTCAAGTATTTTACAACAATGTCTGCCGTTTCCTTAAGTGACAATGCCTTTGTAGTTGGCTGGATGATTCTGGTTGTTCCTTCTTTATCAACCTGCGACAAATTGGGATCAAACGTGACTTTCTTTTTCATCAGCCCATCAGCTTTCCCCTCTGATTGCAATGTGATGGAAGACTTGGTCATCATCCGTAGCCTCTTTCCAGAAGGGCTTTCCAGATCCTTGAGAGAGAACAAGAGAGGAACAAATACTCATGAAAGGAATGTTGTGAGAAACAGGGGACGCATAGCCTCTGCCAGCAATCTACCAGAGTTTCCTGACTTCTATTTCTTTGTGCCTTCCTAATGTCAAGGGACGGGGTAAAGATCCTTTCCAAATACTTTAAACCTTCAAGAAACAGTGTGTGGCTAGCTCACTTAAGAAAGTAAATGTTCCTCTTCAGGTATTTTTGTGTCACTGATCTTGCTATGCCTATTCATTACCAGTGGCCCACATAGTTGGGAGCAGGTCACACCCTTGCTGATTGAATCTTTTCCCCCCTTTGTGTTCTGTGTATAAATAGGCTTCTGCATAGCCTTTTCATCTCATTAAAAAAACAAAAAACCTTTCATCTCTTAATACTTGGAATGTAGGTGACCACTTCATTCATCTAATGCCTCCAGCTCACAAAATCTGATGCCACAATATATTTGTTAGTCTTTAAGTTGACACAACATTCTTTACAACAAAGTAAATCAGTTTCTTTTACAACAAACAAACAAACCTGTCTGGCCTCCTGGGATTTGCCCAACACATGCCAAAGGGGGACCACTCTTCCTGCTACCCCAGTAATATTAACCATGCATGCATATTCCAATGGCCACACCTTAGTCCCATCCTAAGGTCTGAGTGAGCTTCCCCACCATAAGTTCCTGCAAAGCATGCTTCGCCTGTATCTCAGGGATGTTTTTGTGTGTGCTCCTATGCAAGAGAGAGAAGGGGATTTAATAATAGTAATGAAGTATCACCTCAGCTGACCCTGGTCTCTTTCCATTATGGTTTCGACAACTGTTTGTCATTCCATCTTCAATGAGAGGCTTAACTCTGTGGGGGGATAGGAACAATCAGATACTTTGTTCAAGGATGGTGCATTTATGGTATTCAAAGGAAGCAGTAAAAACAACAGTCTTGACATGTGGTTTTCAACAGGTGAGCTACGGAAATAAAAAATAGAGTTGGGGCCCTGATTTTTAAAACTGACAAATTCTATTAGCAGCTCCTGCAACAGACACAGATGCCATCCACAAAACATCTGTAACCACCTGAATTTTAAAAGCACAGCCTAATAAATATTTGAAATATATTTTAAGGACTGATTCAGCTGGGAATTCTGTGAATTTAAGCAATCCAAGCATACTTATCATCCATTTACTGTTTAGAAAGATTTTACTCAAATAGCATTATTATTATTATTATTATTATTATTGTTGTTGTTGTTGTGGAAATTAGTTACAGATAGTTAACACCCATGGAACGCCCGACTCAGGCCTGCTTCTGCAACTCCAAACTCAGTTCTAACCATCCTCCCGATTTACAGCCCAGACACCTTTGCTTCTGTTCTAAAAGCCTTTCCCAGATCAGAGGTATGTCAATTCAACGGCTGCCTTCAGCCTGAGTCTTAAATACAATTGTGAAGGAACAGCTATGAATAATCACTTTTCCTGTAACCTTCTACCAATTGGGAATTGGGTGGGTATCAGTTAGGAGGCTAAGGAAGAGCAACAACAAGGAAATATACCCCTCACCTCGGTTTTCCAAAGGTTGTTCCTGAACATGAGGATTCTGTTCCTGAGCTAGGAATTCTAAGGGTCAGACCTTCTGCTGCTTTTTCTGATTCTTCCTCTTCTACATGGGATCTGCTAGCTTGTTCTTCTTTGGAGACCATTTCAGTTTCCTGAGATTCTGCTTTCTCGTCACATGTTCTTTGGGAAGGAAACTGAGGTAGTTCATCATGGTAGCAGTTGTTCTCTTCTGCCAAATCAAGCACTGACGCCAAGGACCCTGCTTTGGGGATGGAGAAGAATTTCGATATCTTCTGAGAGTCTTTCCTAGCTGCTTCTGCCAACAGCAGCTGTTTCTTACTGGGTTTGCCCTTCTTGGTGGGACTAACTCCCAAGGAGGCTATAGCATCAGGGGTGCTTTGCTGCCCCTTCTTCTCAGGAACCTCCTCGGCATTTTGGCAAACTTCTTCAGCCACTTTTGCCTGTCTCTCAAGTGTGCCATTAATGTCCATAGGCTCAGGGTCACAGTGGTGGCTTCCCTTCTGGTTAATGTCCTCCTTCAGAGGCTTAACTCCATCATCTCCCTTGGCAGCCAGAACTTCTGAAGCAGACTGGAATACATCAGATGACTTCCGAAATCCAATCCCCACCCTCTTGGGTTTGAACTACATTAGAAAGAAATGAGATGAGAGGTAGCTAGAGGGCTAGTTTTTGCCTATCTGCCTTCTGTCTTGGAAATCAAATCCTAGTCCAGGCAAACTGTAGATGCGCCTTAAACTCAAAGACCACCTCACACCTTAATGTTTTCCATAGAGAAAAAATTAAAAGCAATGGGACAGGAAAAAGAAGACTGCTGGAAAGCCCACATAAAAAGAAATTATGAAAATGGAAACCTCATAGACACCAGGACACAGGTTGCTGCTGCAAAATCACTTATATATATATATATATATAGAGAGAGAGAGAGAGAGAGGGGGGGGGGAGAGAGAATGCTATTTAAGGTTCTAATAGTGCCTATTTGCACTTACCGTATTCACCTTGGATGCGGGGATGAAGCCATCATCAGCTGTTGCCACTGGTTCAGTCTTCAACTTGGAACTGCCATTGACTCCAAGGGTGGAATACAGCTCCCCATCTTTGGAAGCCTTGTTAATTTCGGTTACCTTTATGTAACAAGAAAGGGGAAAGTTGTCTTGATAAGCTCTCTTACGCACAGCATTTTTTGCAACACAAAGCAAGGACAGGGTTCACAAATTCTGCTCTTCTTGTCCAAACTAATTAATGCGGAATTTGCACCACCCTTAATTCTCTAAGTGACCAGGAATGCCTTAATACAGCATAGGGTCCATTCTTGTAACATTCAAGCTTGGATGAACTTCAATTAGGGTTGCTATTGTTTATTTACTTCAGCTACTTGGTCGAGCCAGGATTATAATACGTCAGAATTTTGGGGGTTCTACCCTTGTTTGAATTTTGGAAATTTAAAGTTTATGATTTTTCTATTTCCTTCTGAGGAAACTGAGTAGTTCAGTGAAACGAGGTTTGTAGCTGGCATCCCGTTAAGGCTTTGTTCTATTTTAGGTATTTCTAATTTTTTTCCTTAAGTTTTTTGATTTTTATTATTTAGGTGATTTCCACAAGATAATATTTCTAGTTGATTACTTCTTGTTTCAGGGATTTTCACAGTATTTTATTTGTTTTGTGCAATTTCCCAGAGAGGAGCTGGCAGCCGCTTTGTTCCTTCCTGGTCCTTTTCACTGCTACACTAAGCTAAGCCAAAGTTTGGCTTAGCGTTTGATCCAAACTGGGGCTCTAGTTAAGCTCTCTCTGCACTAAGCATGAGCTGCAGCCAAAGTTTGTTGACTTTGTTGAGGTGGAGGGAATGGAAGAGCCAGGCTGCCAGAACCAGATCCTCACTCTGGCACTAAGTTGACTGATTGTTTACCGTATTTTTCCGTGTATAACACGCCCCCTATTTGGAGGGACTCAAAATTAAGAAAATGGGGGGAGATTGCCCCCATGTATAAGACTACCGCCCCTTTTAAACATTCTTTTTTACTAAAAAAACCACAAACCTAGTCTTATACATGGAAAAGTACGGTAATTTCTATACTGCTTAATATATTTTTTGATATCTCTAAGCGGTGTACAAAAAGCTGCTGCAGATGTTAGCTGAGCACTGCCAAGACAAGGCAGAAGTGATTGTATATTAGGCAGCTGGAGCAATGCACTTTTCTGTAATGCTTAAAGCCACTCAAAGTATGGATTTATACATCTGGAAGGTCAAGACAATAACTCAAATGGTTTAGAATTACCACCATCAGTGGAAAGCAGGCCATGAATTAGAGCCCATTTGTATTTCTCGATAAGCAACACAGAATTACATGAAGCCTGCAGAACTGTATAGTTTCAAAACCCACTGCTCATTAGAAAAACAAAGAAAATGCTTTCAGAATGATGTATTGTCAAAACTACTGGCATATTCTCCAAACTACGCATCTGAGCTTTGCTTGAGTTGAGTTCCAGCCTGCAGAAATTAAGGGTCTGCCCAAACACCCTCTTCTAAGACAGCAATGGGAAAAGATGGAGTAAGCAGTGTTTTCTCCATAGTACACACACACAAAATACCTAGCCATTTTCTCTAGCAGAGTTGCATATTTGAGAAACCAACACATCAGGGAGATCAAATGAAGCCCCTTAAAGCTACCAACTATTTCTTACCTTCTTTAAAACAGTCGCCTTGTACAGGTTTGCCATTTTACTGGCCTGGAAAGCTTCATACTCCATTTCCACAGCATGTACTAGAACATCTGAGCTGAGACACAAGACAGTTTGATCAATTGCAGTGGGACATATTTCTCCAATAACAGAGGAAGTTCTCCAACACCTGTCAGGTCCGTTACTATGGAAGAAAGGCTGGAGCACTAACAATTAAAATCTCGGTGCAGAAATATTGGTGGAAACTTATGGTTAATGTGGTGTTTGTGTGTGCAGTTGGGAGGCAGGGCAGAAGACAGGGGTCTAAGAGCATATTTTCCCCCTCCGGATTATTTTTACTCTTTTATGAAGGTATTTCTACAGTTATCAATGAAGTATCACAACCTCCTCTGTGGTTTCAAAATAATAAGTTTGTGCAGTATATTACCACCATCTAGCGGGAACTAAAGAGAATTGCAAGCTTCATAGAAAAACAGGGTTGTAGCTGTTAAGATTCATTTTTGCACACCCACCTCAACCTATTCAGAAAATATTGCAAGAAATGATTTTAAAAATGTTATTTTGGCTTTAGTACACAATATTGTCTTCCTTAGGAGTACACAATTTTGGATTCTAATTTAAAGTATGACATGTAACTTGAAGTGCTCGACTTGCTCTACAAGTTTCCCCACAAACCTGAAGTTATTTATAGCCTCCCCTTAAAAAAAGAAAGAAAAAACACCTTTCCCAGTGCAACTTTGGAACATAAACAGGGTGAGTCCTTTAAAAGAGGCCCCATGGATGCAGAGTACACATGTTCCACGGGGCCTCTTTTAAAAGACTCACCCTGTAGAAACACATTACTAGAACACAACTAATAAAATGATAGAAAATTGTTCTTTTAAAAACCACCCCAGAACAACAGACACCTGTTTCTCATGCTCCCAAAAGCAGTGAGAGGGAATGAGATGTTAAAACAGTGGAACCTGAAGTATAAGATTACTGGTGGCTGAGAAAGCATTTCAAACCACAACACTGCGTTTTGCAAATGGCTGTGACATATAAAATTAGGTTAAGGTATATAACTTGATCCAGCACTGGTGCATGTGCAGGAGCCCTCTTTTCCTTGCTCCCCATCACTACCACTGCATGTGCACAAGTATGCACATGGAAAGCACATGAGCCACTACAGGGAATAGGAGGCTTGCACAGCTCATGAAGGGAGGGCTGGATGGGCGATATGTGCACATGAGCCCCTAGTGCCATGCGCCGGTTTGCATAAATTCCCTGGCTTGCATAAATGCCCACTGCTTGCCCTACGGAGATCTATGGGGCTCCTCCCGGACTAGATAATAACTTCCTACCCATCTCTTGTTAGAGCTGCTTCCCGGTTGTTGCTCAGTGCTTCTTTCAGCATGTTCAGACAGTGTTCTCTAGCCTAAAATTGAAGGAGAAGAGATGGGAGCCAATTTCAGATTGCAGAAGGAAAGTGAAGCATCATCTGTTCTAATCAGCAGTTCTGGGACAGTACAAATAATGTAAAGTATACTCAGTATCATTTTTTTGTATTGTAATTTTTTGTTGTGAATCTCCCCGAGATCTTTGGAGGTAGGGAAGTATACAAATTTAATAAATAATAATAATCAAACCTTCTTTCACTACTATATGGACATGAGTAATCTTTTTCCAGCTGCTCTATAATATCTGCTGTTGTCTCTGCATCCTCTCCAATTTATTTGCCTTCCTAAAACCTGCCAACTGAAACCGGACAATATACCCCAGTTACATTCCTATGCTACAATCTAATATAGATTGTATCCTTCTCTTAAGGCATTCCACCACACCACACTTTTATGCCTTCATCCCCTTTTCATCAGTGCTATTTTCTTGCCAGTTATTTCTCACGCCCATGTTGTAACCCAGGTGGGGAGGGGAAAGGAGCTTGGTGTAAGTAATCACAGCCCCTTCTTACCTTCACTGTGATTTTAGCTATTTTTCTGCTGGCTGCATCCTTCAAGGGACAATCAGCATCTACAATGAGACAGATACACAAACATTTTCTGACATGTTGCCTTACCTCTTGCAGTAGATGAGTGGGTACATGAAGGATATAGCCATTTAAAATAATAAATTAGACAAGTATCCATTGTGGTGATAGTATTTTTTAGAAGTTTGTTTTTTTTTACATGTATTAACACAGTGGTACCTCGGGTTACATACGCTTCAGGTTACAGACTCCGCTAATCCAGAAATAGTACCTCGGGTTAAGAACTTTGCTTCAGGATGAGAACAGAAATCGTGCTCCGGCGGCGTGGCAGCAGCAGGAGGCCCCATTCGCTAAAGTGGTGCTTCAGGTTAAGAACAGTTTCAGGTTAAGAACGGACCTCCAGAACGAATTAAGTTCTTAACCTGAGGTACCACTGTATCTCCAAAATCCTAGATAGCAGATTTTCTCAAGTATTATTCAAGGACAGGTGCTATCCTTGCCATCATTTAGAGATGGAACCAGCCTTTTATGTGTTTTTCTACTGTAAACTCTATCAAGGAGTCAGAGAACGTTTAATTTATCCCCTTATAAGATTCCTGGTCAATTAGACACCCTTGTGAGAATCTTCTTGGAGGGAGGGCTAATAAACCCACTACTGAGCAGGTGGCACTGTGTTTGGTTGCCATTTTTGTAAAAGTCGGATGTGAGGGCGATCTGGCTGCGACATCTGTCACCCCATCGATTGCCAGGGTTGATTCGGCTTATCTGGCTGGCTAGGCGGGTGTCTCCTTCACTGCTCCATGTGCATCAATGGAAGACGACAACCATCTCATACAGAAGGAGTATACCATTCTTTGGTCAAGGGTATACAATAGCTGCGCTCCTCTGCCAGAGCCTCCAAACAAGCTCAAGGTCTTTTTTATTAAAATCAGTTAGGTGGTGTAGGCCTTTGGCTTGCCAGGCCCTTACTTGGATGCTCTGGGATGCATAGTGGAATAGTGGTTGTTGGGTCAGGAGAATTATAGTGGAGATGAGGTTGGGGACAGTTCCCCTACTTTTTCCTTCTATCCTTTAGCATGGACTGTGTGAACCTGTTTAGTGTTCTGGGGATTTTCCTTAGTTTGTTTAGAAGGAATGGATACGCTGTAGTGGGAGTCTTTCTGATTGTATCTATTTCCAATACCATTATTAATAAATATGAGACTCTATCTTGAACTTCTTGAATATGACCCAGTGATTGAGGAATTTGAGATCCAACCCAGGCCTCCACTTCTTGTGGCCCTTTTTATTATTATTATTTTTTTTTGGAACCACAAAGAAGATTGAGTAAAGTCCTTGAAATGTCTCCCAGAGTTCTTTGCTTCCCTGCCTCCGTCATGTGAAGAGGGTCATAACCCAACCCATCTCATCGCAACCCAATCGGTTCATCAGCAACTGGCTGAAATATGTAAATTAACTGTAGTATTGGGTTTGATACACCCATAATTTTCATGTGAAATGGGAAACAGAAGTAAGAAATTGATTTGGGCAGATAGCAATCTCTCCAACTATTTTTGCTACAGTCAAGTTTAAGCCCAATTTTTCTGGCAATAAGCTCATCATTGTGGGCCACACTTAACTTTGGGTCAAGCATTAACTCCTGAGCTCTTTAGCTTCATATACAGGTAGTGCTATACTGTATAAATAGTAACTTTAGTCACTGTAAAATCCCCAGAAAGAACCATAAATGTTTTGTCTGAAGCATCTGATCTATGAAGTAATGCAGAAATTTACCTGGAGGGACAAAGTTGTCTTTTTCAGGTTCCTGGCCCTGAAAGAAATGTAAGAGAGAAAATTCAATGACATAAACCAGGAAAAACGTATTTAAAAGTATAGGCTGTATAGGCTGGAACACAGGACTAGATTCAGAATCTGAGGGTTTTTTTACACAAAAGACCTTCCACATTTATGCAACAATTTTTAGTCTGAGCCAAAGCTTGCTAAGGCTTTGTTAAACGGCGTGAGTCGATAATAAATTGGAACAATCTAAGTAAGCACTGGAAACATTATAAAAGGAATGGGGGACTTTCACCACATACAGTGGGAATGCCATTTCTAAAAAAATATTAAGAGCTCAATAACAGGAATTACAATGATATCCCAATGGATCTGGAATTTTGTTTTTTCATTGAATTATATGGAAAGTACAGTAAAAAATAAACATAATAAATTTAGTCTTATACACGCTGAAAGCAGCACGAATATTATAAGCTAGTACATAACGACTGCCAACAATAGAAGAATGGATTAATAAAACCTGGGCATTTGCCTTAATGACAAAATTAACCTGATTTAAAAGAAAAAAGACAGCAGGAAGGTAATTTTAAGAAGTGGAATTCATTTACTGAATATTGTAGGAGAAACACAATACCTCCCCATTCAGCAGGTGGTTTCACACTGTTTTGAGATGTAAGATTAGATGTATAGTAATGGCCTATTTTATGACATTTCTCATATTTGTAGACTGAATAAATAAAATTGCTACCTTCTTTTAACAACTGGACTAATCAAAAGGAAATCAAGCAAAAAATATGTGGGGCAGCATGAGAGGATGGGTGTGTAAGTCTGTATGTGTATGCGTGCACATATACTGATTGCATGGGTGGGCTGCACACATATACTGTATGCACCTTGCATTTTGAAGACATAAAAGCAGAAACAAAATGATCCATGGGATAAAACATTGGGTCATTCATTTTCTTCCATGCTGGTTTGAGCAAATAATTAGAGTTGCCTCTATTAATTGCCTCATCTCTATGTTTTCTTCTATAATACAGTGCAATTTTACGTTTTCTTGTATTTAAAAATGTCATTTTATAATCTGCAGCTGCAATGCATAACAAGGAATGGTTGGCTTTTAAAAATAGCATTAGAGTTACTAGTTAAGTCTTAGAAGGAGCCTTCATTTAAGGCAGTGATTTAGCCCAGGAGTTCTTTTTTTCTGTGTGAAAATCAGACACCAAGAAAAGCCATCCACTTTCCATCCCAAAGTCCCTAATCTGCACAGATGGGGTTTGGTTTCAAGACTGAATGGGACTGTATTCTAGTCACATAGGAAGGGTGGTGAATTCAACCAAGAAAATGCTTGGAGACAGAAAGAAAGCGCACACAGAGATATGCACAAAAAGGCCACTTTAAGAGCTCTCCTCATTAAGCAACCTGTGGTAAAGCATCATAAAAATTGAAAGATAAAGGTACTATTCTCTAACTAACAAAGAAATGTCAGAGCAAGGTAAGTTCTTTAATGTGTGAATGATTTCTCACATATTAACATAAGAACACAATAAAGACCTCATGGCTTGAATCAGTAACACTTAGGCTGCAATCCTATACCCGCTTACCTGTGAATAAGTCACGCTGAACTCAGTGACGCTTACTTCTGAGTAAGCACATATAGGATTCCGCTGTTACCTACCCTTTTCCCACCCGTCGAGATAGTACCCGTCTCCTGCGAGGAAGTTACCAACTTACCTTGCGCAGACTCATCTGCCTCTTATAGAAGTTGTTCCATTCCCTTTTCTGATGGTCCTCATTCGTTTCAGCCACACTCCCGCTGTCTTCATCATATCTGAACAATAACCCAGAAACAGTTGGAAACTGAACAGGAAGGTTGCCCAGAATTACTTCAAACATTATACTGGCATCAAGGAAATTTGATCTAGCAAATACATCACAATATCCCAGAGGATTGTGGGACCGAGTCCCACTCAGATTTCATTCCAGGGTGAGACTGTCACATTTCCAGATTTTCTCTCAAATAAATCAATCCAGAACCGATCATTTCCTCATAACCGACACGGACTTCTATGTTCCTCTTGCCATGTGTCTTATCGGTTGAATTCAGAGAAGATTGAGTTGAACTCACTTGGACAACAGGGTCTTCCCAGCTCCCCACTACTGTCCCCTGTGCCCCCCAGAATTTGCTCCTGGAGGCCAGAAGACCCTCTCTGGTCTGGCATCAGAAGGGGCAGAAGAGCTACAATGAGACAGGGAAATCAGAGGAATTTGACAGGGCACAAGTGTTTTTCCACTCATGCAAACCCTCTCTAGACTGAAGCTGGTTCATTTATGAATTGTTAGCATCAGAAACGTATGTTTTAAATAATAAGTCACTTTTAAAGTTCCAAAGCTTTTAACTACTTAAAAGTGATCACTTTCCTTTAAAGACCACCCTGCATAAAAAGAATACATTTACAGATGAGTTTATGCAAGATATGCAAGTCAAGTAGAGCAGAAAATTGAATTACAAAAGGTGAAATATATGGCTGGTTTATCTTTGTTTCACAAGAAGTACAGATGTTAACCGCATGCAATGATCAGGGGATAACAAAAGAGAAAGAATATAGTGCAAACTATTTCATTTAACCAGGAAGTAAAAGAAAAATGGCAACTTAACATTTGGTTTTAATCTTTCTGCTGCATACCAGAACAAAACGCAGGTCACGAAACAGAACAAAGGCCAATCTAGCCAAAATTAAGCACTTTCAGATCTTGTTCGCAATGGGAGAGTGGTGCTGAACATACACTTAACTTTCCCATTGAAATCAGTGAGTCATTTGCTTACGGTCACTAGTCAAATTCTTCTGAAAAACCCCCAGGCATGCTGCTGTGAGCACTTTCTGGAGGATAATCAGAGGCAACAGGGCAAGAGATGAATGTCTGGGGCACTTGGAAGCTAAAGAGGACAGTGACCTGCTTCTTACAGCATGGGCAATCATTCTCTTTCTCTTCCCGGGGTGCCCCCATCCCTCCTTTAAGAGGGATTAGAAAGCACAACAGGGACGCAGGTGGCGCTGTGGGTAAAAGCCTCAGCGCCTAGGGCTTGCCGATCGTCAGGTCGGCGGTTCGAATCCCCGCGGCGGGGTGCGCTCCCGTTGCTCGGTCCCAGCGCCTGCCAACCTAGCAGTTCGAAAGCACCTCCAGGTGCAAGTAGATAAATAGGGACCGCTTACTAGCGGGAAGGTAAACGGCGTTTCCGTGTGCGGCTCTGGCTCGCCAGAGCAGCGATGTCACGCTGGCCACGTGACCCGGAAGTGTCTCCGGACAGCGCTGGCCCCCGGCCTCTTGAGTGAGATGGGCGCACAACCCTAGAGTCTGTCAAGACTGGCCCGTACGGGCAGGGGTACCTTTACCTTTACCTTTAGAAAGCACAACATTTTGCCAGAAGCTACTGCTCTCTGTTGTATCAATACAGAACAGGGTGGGACAGCTGAAAACATCAAGGTCTAATTTCACACTTTTACTGACTCAAGCAGTCTCACTGAAAATCTCCCTGACCATGATGAGATGAGAGCTGTCTGAGGCTTCCTCCAAACCTAGTGCTAAAGGACAGAATGGATGACCCCCTACTTCCTTCCAGCCCTAATATTCAGCCGAAGCCTTGGATGTGTTCTGGCTCTGTGCTTGCCAGGAGAGGCACGAGTGATTTGGCTTGCTCTTCCATCAAGCTCATAGGAAGAGGAAGGCTCTGTTGTCGCACCTCCCCTCTCCCTGCTGCCAATCCTTCAGCCATCAACTGCTTTCTGACCTCCTTCTCCAACTTCATTTCTGGAGAAAGAGGAGATTCCCTCCTGCCTCCATTTGGAGTGAAAACTTGAGGTCAGATACAAGACCTTGCCGCTTGAGGGTGAGCCTGCGACAACAAATTGTTGGCTGGCCAGTAAGAACAACAATATTTGTTAACCCCTGGCTGCATCACGACATAAAGGCATTTATGCCACATTTTTAACCAGTGTTTTCTTTTAAACCTACAGTGGTACCTCTGGTTACGTACTTAATTCGTTCTGGAGGTCTGTTCTTAACCTGAAACTGATCTTAACCTGAGGTACCACTTTAGCTAATGGGGCCTCCCACTGCTGCCGTGCCACCACCACGCAATTTCTGTTCTCATCCTGAAGCAAAGTTCTTAACCTGAGGTACTATTTCTGGGTTAGTGGAGTCTGTAACCTGAAGCGTATGTAACCCGAGGTACCACTGTATTTCCTGTTGGTTCTACTAAGTCCAGCTATCAACTCCCAGGCTCAGCTACACTTCAAGGAGTTATCTATTCCTCTGGCTGATTCATGAAGTCGCAGTGGCTGCTGAAGTCATGGCGCTTGGCTTAGTTTGTATGCAGCGGGGAGGGATGCGGGACTTCAGGTATGAGGAAACTACTAGTCCCAAAACAACTGAAGCCGCCATAGGGGATAAAAGAGGAGAAATCCTTACTATTGTCAACAGAACTCACTTCTGCTGGAGTCGGAAGCAAACCCATACCTGCTGAAGCCACCCATGCCTCTTCTGCCTCCTTCGTACAGGTCTGGGTCAAAGGCATTCCAAGAAGAAGCAGAGGGTCCAATGCAGGTTCTATTCCAGCCGCTGCCAGTGTGTTCAAGTGCCTCTACGTGCTTTTTCACCACTTGAGGATTCTTACAGTAATCACAGCACTTATTGCACTGGGGAACTGCATCTCCAAAATAGTTGGCTATAGCGGCATGACGACAACTAAGAGACAAAGACAGAATAGTATCATTTTGAGGGAAAGGGGCAGCAAAGAGACTTTGTCCTAAGTCAGGAAGAGGCAAACTCTGGCCCTCCAGATGTTTGGGACTACAATTCCCATCACCCCTAGCTAACAGGACCAGTAGTCTGGGGTGATTGGAATTGTAGTCTCAAACATCTGGAGGGCTGGAGTTTGCCTATGCCTGCCCTAGATGGTTAAGCAAGCCTAGAGTATGGTTACCAGATCTTTTTCCAATGAATCCGGGGACACTTTTTTTTGGGGGGGGGGGAGCTGAGTAGCAACAGGGAGTCAGTAGTGGGGATGGTGAGGCAAAACACCCTGGGCCCAAGCACACATGCATATTGTATAAACATATCATATGGGGACTTCCGGAGAGGAAAAATGGCAGGCGCCACAGCAGTGAGCAGCTCCTGAAGCCAACCAGAGCCAAGTGCGCTACCAGGCTGACTCCGGGCTGCTGAGGCTGCCGCTGCCACATTTCCCGGGGACAGATTTGCAAATCGGGGGACTGTCCCTGGAAACTGGGGACGTCTGGTAACCCTAGCCTAGAGAGGTGTCATAATGGTGGTCAAATTAAAAATAACCTCAGAATCAAGGCACACTGCCACAATGGGAATAATTCAGAAAGCAAAGTTTCTAGGTTACCCGAATCTGGAATTTGCTGGTTTTTAATTTTAGAATATTCAAGCACATGGCTTGGTGGCCACAAATGGTTTCTTGACAGTCTCTCCTACCCGTTTTTAAACAGAAAGTATGCTAGCAGTTATGACGCTCCAAAATGCCAGCAATATTTAAAAGAGCTACAAAGAAAACTTTGTTTCAGTGCTGGTTTATACTACCCTCCACACAACCAGTTGCAAACACTGTCAAGGACAGGTACACACTCAAGCAGAAAAATATTGTGGTTCACACTTCACGATCTTCATGTGAGGGCAACAAACAAGTGGCTGAAAATGCATTGAACTCCTTGCAGCATGAAGCAGCTCTTATGTTGCTTGGGCAATAGTATTCCTCTGGGAAAGGGTTTTATCAAACAAAGTTGACCCAGAATTTAAGCAAAAACTTCTGCATGCACAACAGAATTTCCCTCCCTCTCTTTGCATGCTCCCAAGGCTCCTAAATATGCTCTGGAGATTTGGGAGAACCCTCAAAACATGGGAGGAGGAGGAGGAGGAAAAGTTCTGTTGTGCAAGCAGAAGTTCTTGCATGAACAGTATGACTTGGTTGGATACAATCCAAAATATTTGGGGCCCAGCTCATCAAAGCACTCCTTCAAAATGTTCCTTCTTGCCACCACAGCTTCCAATAGTGCCCATTTATGTACATCCTAAAGTTCATCTATAGCATAGTGAAGACACATCACTAATAAAGAAAAGCAATTGGCCAAGCTTTCCACTCTTGTTGGAATCTTCACTGTAGAATGAAAATGCACAATATTGATGGGAAAACATATTCACCAAGGTCCATTTGCATTCTCTTTTCACATCTGAAGGAAAAGCTCCAAAGCTATAAATGACCCCATGTACGTATGTTTTTGAATAGGCTATAACTAAATGGAAGTCCAAATGCTCCCAGCAGTTTAAAAACTAACATTCCACCCCCCCCATTTGAACACAAGCTTGGGGGGGGGGGCAACACTGAATCCCAGTGAAGTTTAGAATCCCAGCAAAGCACTTTTGTGGTATTTAAAATCAGCATGTGAAATGTTTCCTACCATCCTGGCAAAGGTGTCAAACAGAACTTTCCTGGAACTGGCAGCTTTTGAGACACCACCAGGCAAAACTTAGAACTCACTGTGCTAAAGCGGGAAGGGATGGTACCCCGGCTCAGGTAGAGAGAGAGCTGAGCCAGTGTCAGCCGCTGCATGGAGAAACAGAGTGGGGAAGCGAGAGAGATGCGACAAAGCTATCTTTATAACCCTTGCAAAATGGCACTGACTTACATCGACTCTTGAGCCTAAAGAAAGCACTCTTTTCACAACCTCTGAAAGGCTATCGTGTGTAATTCCCCCCCATGCCCCTCCAAAATCTTGCTAACTCTATCCAGCTGGAAATGCCAAGGGTCTTTGGCAAGTCAATCCTTTGTTTTTCAGAACACGAGAAAGGCAAAATATAATTCCGTCATGCTAGGAGGATAATTTGTGTGTTTCAGTTAACAGGAACACACACACACAAAAATGAATACTCATTTTTCCATTCCCCCAACCCTGCTTGCAGAAGAACAGCTCCTCCAAAAACCCATACTGTAGTGGCAAAAAAACCTACTGGCGAGTCAAAGGATATTTAATGTTTCTAACTAATATCTTAAGCTTACAGACTCCTTAATGAAAAGATCTCTGCCAGAGATGATAGGAAAATGTTGGTCTGCCAGGATTACTGTCTGGTCACTTGGCCAGACTGCACCATTGTTCTGACTTAGCATATGGGGAAATCCAGAACTTTTGCTCATGACAGAAAGGGGAACAATCTCCCTCTAAAGTGGGATATTCATACAGAGACTTAAATAGAAAAAGACAGGGCAGGAGAGGCTAGGCACTCTGCACCTGCAGAAAAATAGAGGATTGCCCTCCCAAATTTCCTTCGTGGAGACTGAACATGCAGGTTTCCTTCATAACACCAAATATCACCTGCAGCAGAGACACGCACATAGGGCTTAACCAACATAATCCCTTTGGAAGTGCTTAAGTGAAACCCAGTCAACAGACCAGGAAAGCTCTGGGGAGAATGTCAGGGTTTCATCCCCTCTCAAGCACCTTCAAGCAGCTGTCTCAGCTTTCATGGAGTCTTCCTGCCCCTGGTTCTTTCAGGGGCAAGCAAAGCTGTATGTAGCCTCTGGCATATTGGGTTGTATCCAGTGAAGTCTTCCCTTAGCACAAAGACTTTTGTCTGCACAACACAACACAACTCTCTCTTCTCTTCCTCCCCCTGCACAATCTGTTCTGGGGTTTCTTTCCCAAACCCCATGGAGCAGATTTGGGGTGAGGGGGTAAGGAAGTCTTCTTGCACAGGCAAAGGTTCTTGCACTAACAGGACAACTTTGTTGGGCGCAACCCAATGTCTCTTAGCCCAGCTCCTCCTTCCCTAACCCTAACCTTCATTCAGCACAAATGCGTTAGCTCAGTTGGTTAGAGTATGGTGCTGATAATGCCGCAGTTGCATATTTGATCTCCGTCCAGGACACCTGCGTATTCCTGCACTGCAGAGGGTTGGACTAGATGATCCTCAGGGTCCCTTCCAACTCTTTGATTATATGATATGATTCTATGATTATTTAATTAGGTGTTCCCAGAGGCCATCAGATACCCACTCCTGCTTAAAGCAGCCTTTGAGGTGATAAGATATTACCTGTTTACAGAAGCCAACCAACAGTCGCTGTCCACAAATTCAATTTAAGACTATTTAGAACACTGACTTTCATGGGAATAAGACGTACTGAAAAATCCAAAGTTATTTTGTCTTTTTGAGGAGACACGCTGAGAAAAGCGTAGGAGTTCAAATGTTTCCACATATTTTAAGTCCAAGAGCCGCTGCAAGTTCTCTCATTCCTTATCATTGGCTTCTTTACAGAATAGCTGTAGATTTTTTACTGGGAGCAAATAAAGAATTTAGTAGCCTGCAGAAAAGCAAATCACTTTAATATACAGGCAGATAAAGGGAAGGGAGCTCCCTCAATGCTCACCCAGGCTGCGTGGAAAGAGGTCTAATAAAAATAGAGAAGAAACTTTATGCACAATCAAGAGTTACACAATGAGCTTGTAACAAGTGTTGGTTTCGGGAGCTCTGCACTGGGGAGTTTGTGCTAGCTGCAAGTCTCCATCTGTGATCCTCCCCTTAGTGCACATGTAATATGAAACTTCACATCTCCAGGACGACCAACAACAAAAAAAAGAGAGAGGGGGTGAAAGAGAAAGCGCAGGCACAGAGCAGCTGGCTGTCAGCAGCAGGGAAAAGAGGAGTTGAGGGAGGAAAGAGATAGGAAGCAGAGAGGGTGAAAAAATGTAGGGGGGGAGGAGAGCTGACATGAAATGACAACAGAAAGAAAAACACGAAGGACAAAGGGACGGCTGGTTCTGCAACACTACTTGGGTAAGGCTGACTTTTACCTCTTCTCCTACTCGCCACAGCATCTAGGCACGGGACAATTGGTTTGTTCAACTTAAGCCTGTGCCAAGATTTCATAGTAAACGTTGCAACGTGGGATGTCAGAGGAAAGTGTGTGAGGAGGACGGGTCGGGTGGGAGAACGTGAGGCAGGGGGACAGAACGGTTTGTAAGCAGAGTTTCTGAAGTTGCACTGCATTAAGGAGAATGTCAACAGATTAAGTTCTTTCATGTTCACTTGCATTCTGCTCCCCTCTGAATCGGGCACAAACACGGTTAGAAACAACAACCTGAAAAGTAGAATTCTAGCAATTTTTTTTTTAACTTGTGCAAATATGACAGCCAGTTGCAGAATTAATTCCACACAATTTTAGAATGCATACGATCCTAGTTGGTTTGGAATGTGTGTGTTCACTTTAAACAAAATTCCAACAGCTAAATTGCAGATTAGCCATGGGACGATTTAGGCTATCTTCCCAGGAACCGAACATCGTCCCAACACCAGGCCTGGCATTTTCCGACTGTCAGCTACATCCTGAAGGAATTCTACTGAAGATGCCAAATTATGTGACATTCACTCAATTTTGTAGCACATTTACCCCGACAGTTAAAGCCTTTCCTTGAGCAACAGAGCTCTACTGCTGCTGCTGCTGCTGCTGCACACAAATAAGAGTTTGTCTCAAGATTCTGGACTTTGTGCCAATTAGGAACCATTCAACATTTGTATGCTGGCAATTGGCTCTCCAGCAGAGTTAGAAAGCAACAGCTGCAGAAATAAGGCTCAGGTTTTAATGGAGTTTGTTATCAAAGAATTCTGTGTTGATCATATGTATTTTTATTTTTAACCAATTACTAGCAGTGCTGCAGTCATTGGTTTTGGTT